GGTGGGCTCTCAAAAACTGACTTTTGTAAAAACTGGCTGCAAGTTGTTGCTGATGTTTCTAATCGACAATTTGGTTCATTGCTAGGTTTTAAGTATAGATCGCAATTTCAGTTTCAAAACCTGTAATGTGATTAACAAGGCTAAATGTTTCATATTACGTTTGTTTGCCCTACTAAAAAATAGAGGTGTATATAATGATGATCTAAACAAATTGTTGATGGGTGATTTTTTTTTTTTTTTTTTTTTTTTTTACTGGTGAAAACTGAACAAAGAAACAATCTTTGACAAGTTCAAATGGCTTCTGGTGATGAAAGGAACTTGGAGAGAGTCTGGGTTAAATTCACAAGTCTTATCTTCTTGAGATTCTTCCATAAAAGTGAGCTGAGCCCTTCTCTCTGTGGGCTAAGAACAGACCCTTGGAAACACAGTGATCCCCCCGAATATGACCTCTCCTCCTCTGTACTCTCTTAAGCTTCTTCTATTACAAGCCAGAGTCTTCAGAGTCCAGTATGAAAGTTGTGTTATCAAAGACTGGAGCTGCTAACAGACCCACAGAGGAGGTGGAGAAGGACAGGCACAGTGGACTGTGAAACCTGAGCTCTCCTTTATCAGAATTATGCATGAGCTTAGAGAAGCAGACCCTTTATAGTCTACAGACGTGGCAGTGAAGGTGACTCGCAGACCTTGTACTGTAGGAAAGACAGTTAGGCAGTGCAGGGTTTTAACTGTAACCTGTGCTTAAACGAGACGACAAATGAAGATGTATTTCCCGTCTCTTCTTTTGTCATCTGTATTCAGCTTGTCTGCTCTAATCACTGCTGTCTATAAAAGCCATGAGTCCATTTGTGGCCTTGTTATTTCCAGAACCCCTCAGTCTGGGGATGTGCTCTTGTTATCGCTTTCTCCTGCTTTTTTTTAACCAAGAAGGAAGGATTAAGGGCAAGGATCATCAATTTGTTCTTTTAGTCTGCTGTTCCCTTTATCCCTCACTGTCATCTCCTGGAAGGAAAAAATGAATTTTTATGCTCCTCGACTATTTGACAATTGATTTGCTGAACAAATTGCGCCCATTGAGAGCTGTATTTGCCATTTTGTGCCATTGTGTTGAATGCACTGAAGAAGTAATGACATGGAAATGGGGAGGAACTGCTTCACCTTAATCCACTAGCACAGCAAGAGACCATCTTGGTTCTTCATGCATTTAGATCTGCAAAAGTACATTTTTGTAATTAGATGTTTTTTCATTTTTCACCATGTTTTCATGTAATCGCTGTACTTTTTGTTGTGTGTCAAGTGCTTCAAGTTATGTGGCAATATAAAACAGGAAGTGCATCATACTGGAGGAGTTCCCATTTAAACTTGAGATAAAAGCATTTTGAGATTGGAGATAATCACCGCAACTTTGACGCTTGAGTCAACAAACAGTGACACGAGATGTCAACGCTGCCTCCTCTTCAGTTGCATTCACTGCTGCTGCAGCACTTTGCTCCACAAAAGACCACAAGACAGTAGGACAGTACTTTAAAGGTCAGGAATTTTTACACCTGCATATGAGTGCATTGTCCAAACTCTACTAGTTAAGAGATTTTAATCACATAGTTTTAGCTAAGAAACGATATCCAAGTTGCCACGTAAACATGGAAAATACGGGAGAAGGAAAGGAAGGTCTGCGTTAGGTGGTGGGTGTGTTGCAAGTATCCTTCGTGTTTTATCTTATGTTTACATGAACGGAAATATAAGGAGGCGGGGAGATGCAGCAAGTGATTGAGACTCGGGACATACAACGGTCCTCAGTCACTATGGCAACTAGTCACAGCTAGGACACGTCAAGCACTTAAGTAATTAGAAACTGTAACATATTGTAGAGTCTGTTAGTGGTGCGGTGTGGGTGTAGGCTTGTTTTGGCAAAAAATGGTGGAGATAACACTTCGGCTGCTGATACTTATTAGCAAAATAAAAGTTCCCAGTGTTTATATCTCCAAAAACAAATACTGCTTTTCTGTGTGCGTGTGTGTAGGAAAATGGGAAGGCACTCCCAAAAGGCCCTGGGGCCTAAATACACTCAAAAATACACCATGTTCTTTAACCTCCTAAGACCCGAACTCTTCCACAGCATGCATTTTTAATTTCTCTTTGATATTTGGGCTGATTGGGGCCTGATGAATGTAAAAACAAATAATTTTTTACCTTATTTTTGTTTTTAAGAAAAATGAGAGCTACATATGAAGACATTCGTTTAAAATGTTGATAGAACAGTAGCAGTATAATGTCCTCGTAAGTGGATATCAGGCCCATGTAGAGCAAAATTGAGTATTTTAGTCTAAATAACCCAAAATGTGATGTCCACATATGTGGACGCCAGGTCCTAGGAGGTTAAATTAGTGGGAGAAAAATCCACCAAATGAATAGTAAAAATTACATTTTAGGTGTACGCTTTTCTCTTGTCACTCTAATTTTAAGGGTCCCCTGACTGATGCTACCTTGCTGTTTAATGCCTTAAAAGAGCAAGAAAGTGGTTGTTGTAAATTATTTGATGTGATTACTTTCTGGCTTTTTTTTCTTTGGATCTCCCTCTCTCTTAAAGAAAATCCTCCAAACTTAACTTTTGTTCTTAAAACAAACTCTTAAAGAATTGAACAAGAATGCTACTGAGAAGAAAATCGACTTGAAACAAGTAGAAATTTTTTCACTTAAGCAAACATAAGTACAAAACATACTTGGTAAGAAGGTGAATAAAGCAGTATTAAATGTCAGGGATGCTTGGTACTCACAGGAGAGTGAGTGGATTGTCAGCTAACCGCAGATATGGTGGTTTGATTCATGTTGTCTCCACATGCTGAAGTGTCTTTGAGCGAATCCGAAACCTATAAATAGATTAATGAGAAAAGCTCTCTGAAGTCATCTGTAAAGCAACACATTTTAAAATGTGTTCTATAAGTGCAGGAGAGTTAAGAGTTAACAGTTTATCTAATTAACTCATTGACACATTACATTTTGGTCACGTTGCACTAATCACCACTGGGGATCGGCTTGTTTAAGGGTCTCTGAGCGCACAATGTGTGGTCTACAGCGTGCAGGAAGAGGAGGCAGAATTCAGCGGGGGCTAATATAGCCAATTTTTACGCCTCAACAGTTTAATCGGGCCGTACTTTCATGTCTTCATAAATTTGAAAAACTCTCCCCACAGAGCTGGTTTCTCTTTGCAAAGATTTGTTTGTGTCCAACTCATACACAGCCCTGTCAGACCTGGTGTGAACTTGGATGTTATGTAACTATGATTGATTACTCATTAAGGAACCATGCCCAGCCTTAATAACAGCACTGAATGCAGCACAGCGCCCCAGCGGCTGTTTGTCTCGGTCTCTGATGCAAGCCGAGAACACTTAGTGCGACTCGAGGATCATTATAAAACTTGACTATGCTGAACGCTGGAAATATTTGCCTGTTTTTGCTCGCTGGGTAATGATACAAATATTGTGACTGAATTTGATTTGGAGTTTGGATGGGTGCGTTATACAATCGGCTTGTCCTCCTTTTGTCTTGTGCCAGAGAAACTAGATTTACCAACTTAAAATGCCAAACAGCACATGCTTGCAGGCCCTTGAGATGCTAAGAAATGTAGTGCATTACACTGAGAAGGACCAAGAATCGGGCCTAGTTGATCCTTCCGTATTTGAGTTTTTTCATTTATTTTATCATACATTTGAGGGGGTTATTTTCAAGACGCCCTAGCAGCATGCCTGTAGAAACGGTAGTGTTGTTCTGCTGGTCTGCGTTCACCCAGATTGAACAACAGTCATGTTACAGAGCTTTTTGAAAATTTTCTTTATGTAGTCATCTGAAAAAACAAGTACACTCCATGATTCAGTGGCCTGTGCAACCACCTTTACCAATAATAATAATAACAATAATCTTCTGGCTTCTGGCTCACTGTTCTGTTCCATGTTGGTTCAGCTCCTTAAGATTTGCAGGTACAGCTCTCTCTCTTTAGAGCTCTCTTAAGGTCCCACCACAATATTTTAATGAGGTTGAGATCTGGACTTACTGGATCTGTGCAGCACTGCTTCCTTTGTTTTTCAGTCGTGCTGTAGTAGATTTGCTGCTGCTTTCCTGTTTGACCCAATTTTGGCCAAGTTTAGCTGCCGGACAGATGGCCTCACATTTGACTCTAGAATAGTTTGGTTTATAGAGAAGTTCATGGTGACCCGGGGGCCTTCCAGTCCCCAGGTCACATTCAACATGTTGCTATGATGTCTTTGGTCATGGTGCTGTGCATTACGCCTAAATATTTCTACTTTGGTTTTGGTTTTTGTCCAAAGGACATTGTTCCAGAAATCTTGTGGTTTGTTCAGGTGCAGTTTTGCAAACCTACACCATGCTGCTATGTTCTTTTTAGAGAGAAGAGGCTTTAAACATGCAAAACCTTCCAAACAAGTTATACTTGGATTTTTTTGTCTTATTGTACTGTCATGAACATAACATTTAACATTTTGCTTTTGGGATTTTTGCGATTTCTCTTAATGCTGTGTAGTCTGACAATTGGGAGAATTTGCTGGAATGTTCACTAGGAAACTTCTGAACTTCTGCATTTTTGGAGGAATTCAGAACTGATTATCACATGCAGTTAGTTAGCAGCACCTAGCTGCTACATACCCTCTTAATTCCTATGGAAGCAGTAATGATGGACTTAGCATTTCAGCCCTATGTATCCTTTGAAAACTTTTTAGTTAACAATATTCGGATACCTTCAAGTTTTATGCTGAACGACGTGCTTAGTACAAATTGTCAAAGGTTAGCATACTAAGCTAACCCGGTGAGCAGTGTAAATATTGCTAATGCTAACATTACCATGATAATGCTATCATTTCACATATTTCTGTCAGGCAGCTTTTCACTTTGTTGTCTGATTTTAGTATGTAGAGTGCATGCATGGACTGGATGGCATTTTTGTGTTTCTGAATGTTTTTCACTTACTGGAGCTGTCGTTCTATCTTTTACAGAATGAAAAGCCTTTGGGTCCTTCAGCAAGCCGGTCCAGCAATATATCAAAGGTGAGCAAAGCACATACAAATGAGAAAAATTTGAATAGAAGATGTACAGCCTGGGTCCATCACAGAGAAAAGGGAGCACACTTGTAGACAAGAAGATGACAGTGAGGTGAGCTGTATTTGAAGGTGGAGATTGACAGAGTAGGTAGACATGCACAGGAGTGTAAGCAGCTGATAGATGACCTGCCTCGTTCTCATCACATCGCCATAATCAGAGCCGCCTTTCTGATCAACCTCTGAGACTTCTGTCTTTCTACGTTTTCTCTCTTTCCTTTTATGCTTCATGGCTCCCATAGGTAAAGCTACAGCCTGCATTGAAAATGTCTTTTTGTCCCCTCATGAGCCTCTTAGAGGATAAAACCTTTACTTGTGCTAATAGATGTCAGGGTCATTCTGTCACCACGGGAAGGCTCCAGCAATAACATTTGATCCATGAGCTGCTCGCTCTTTAAACATGAGCAAGATGAGAGGTATTGCACCCGAGAGACAAATGCACTGATCGTTTGCAGGATAACGATTATAGTAACAAAAATGCAGTTTTTCTAAGGCAGTGTGCCACTCCATGTCTGCAGGGGAACAACTGGCTGACATTTACAAAAATATGCCCATTTGATGGCAAATAAATCTGTTATATGTGCCATACCTTGTAGACATTCAACATATCATGTGTAACTTGATATAAAATATATATTAATGCCACGTTTTTTAGCAGTACAACAGACCATTGATATTCCGTGTAAAGGGAAATGTATTTTTACACCAAGAAGCCAATTTGCACCCTAGCCTTAGTTACAATGACTTCTTGCTCTCTAGTTAAATCCGGGAGGTCCAGACTTTATAGCGCACTACAGTTGATTGTTATGTCAGTGCAGCGGCAGTGAGTACAAAGTCTGTGAACGTTGTACCTAGAGTACGTGCAAACAAAACTTTTTGCAATCCTCAAAGCAAAAACTATAAAGTTATATAATCATATAATAATTTTGATCTGGGTGTTTTCATGTGTGATAAGTTTTTAATCTTCCCATGACTTTTCATAGCTTCTAAGTTACGATACTAAGACTGGCACCACTTTGCCTAGAAACAAGCAGTAAATGGGAAATGCACTTAATCACTCTAGGAGGACAGGGTTACACCACTCTCCTGTCTGCTCTTTAAATATGTCGCTCCAGCCAGCTGTTAGGAAACAACCTGAGTGGTGTTCATCTCATCTTACACTTGAGAAACAGGTTATTTCTTCAATGGAGTGTAATTATTTTATTCAGTGTCTGTGGAGACAGAGCAGTGTCACTCGCTTTCTACACAAATCTCATTCATAAATGGAGGGGTGGATTTCATCAGGTTGCAGACGCAGTCCATTGTCATTGAATGTCCTATATAGATCCCCATTCCTCTGACAAATGTGTTTGTAATGAAATGATAGACATAAAGTCTGAATAAAGCTCTTAACTTTGACAGATTTAATTAATAATCACCGGTCTGTCTGGCAGCTGGTGTTTCCTACTCGTTCCTAAAGGGAAATGCATTTGACTGGCAGGTATTAAGTTGGTATAAATTGTTCTCTGGATGGAAAAGCCTGCTGGGAGTCTTCAGAGTTGGAGAGCGAGTCAGATTATGACTGTAAAGGTTGCCCGGTTGAGTCGGTGGACCGTTTTGAGAATCGCAGACAAAGAAATGGTGCAATAATCTTTTGGCAGAGACTCCAAGTGAGAAGATTTAGCAGTGGATTATTGTAGGTGGGTAATGTGTTTTCACTAAGACGGCATCTCCCTGAGACCACTTTCCCTAGAAGCTGCTTGAAGACGATGATTTTCTGCATATATGCAGTGTATTTACAAGTTTCCACGCTTTGCAGTTATGACAGCATGAGATGAAAGATGTTCGTATTTGCAGCAGTGACTCGAATGTTCCTCTTTGCAGAAAAAATATCAAATGTAGGTCAAGTTAATTTATGTTTGTAAAGCTGAATCTTGGTGAAATGTACATCTGATAAGAGTCACCTTATTTACTGCTGAAGGGGTTTTTGTTTTGTTTTGGGGGGTTTTTGGGGGGGTCTTCACTGACACTTGATTGTTTTCATTCATTTGCACATGAGCTCCGGCCACATTCAGAATAAGGACGCCAAAACAAATGTTGAACGGCTTCGCGTGGCACGGATTCAAGCCGAATCGCATCAGCTCCAGTCAGACCAAATCAAAAATGAATGCGCTCGTATTCGATTGTTGACCTACTTAAAAGATTTCTCTCTGTATAAATAACCGCAGCATCGGCCTGAGAGGAATATTTCATAACATCCCCAGCTCGACACAGTCATACAGCCAGAATAATCCGAATGCTACAACATCTAAAGCATTCGTTCATTTTTTTAAAGCACCTGCTCTCGTTTTACACGGATAACCTGGCAGGGATGCGTTTGGCCTTTTTGGCTTTCCCAGTATTTATTTATTTATTTATTGCTGTTTTCTTTAATCGAACAGCTTTATCCTTTCTGAAGATGACTCAGAAATAAATCTTATTTCTAGCTATCCTGTTGCTCCCCCTGGAATACCTGTCACAAGGAATACACACACCGGGAGAGAGAGATTTATACGATGACAGGAAAACAAGCAGCCAAATATGGCCGGGGGCTCATTTGTTTCATAAAGGTGATATTGCCTCCATCAGTGAACTTGTCATTGAGGGGCGCTGAGCTGTGTGGTCGTGGATATGAAGGTATACGCGTATCCACGACCATAAACTCATCATCTCCCTTGTCCCCGGTGCTTGTTTGTTCATTGAGTCCTTTCTTCCATCAAGCCGAGCCTGAGAATCGTGAAAGAAAGGCAGTGTTGAGGGGAGATAATCAACATTTCTTTGTTAAATTTAACCATTATCGGTGATAAACTTGTCTGAAAAAACACGGGCTTTTCTGATGTAGGCTGAGGATTGCCTCCTGATTTGGCGTGAGTTGATTTTTCCACTCAGTGAGGTCAGGAGGCTTAGCTGTAGCCCTTTCTCTCTTTAGCACAGTGCCAGGGTGCTGTGTGATGCCTCCTACACTGTTTGGGAAGGAATTATAGTATTACAGTCCTCATAAAGACACAAAGCAGCGACTCACAGCTCAGTGGGCTGCCGCTTCTAGTCGGCCAAACATCTGGTGGTGCTCTAGAATTCAAGCTGCTGCAGTTTTTGAGTTTTAGGCTCTGCAGCTGCAACATCCAACCTGAATCTGCACCTCTGATCACTAGAAGAGCCTCTCTGTTGGTCTGTTCAGCTTGGCAGACCACAAAGTCAAAACAAGGCACTGAGCCAAGCTACTATTTTGATAAAAATGAGCACATAGTTTTTGTGTTCAATCTGGCACATTACTTATTTCTGAGCGTTTCTGCTGAAGCAGGGCCTGGTCCCTGAAAAATGACTGTAGGACTGAATGCTGTAAAATGACACCTGTGGAGGGTGGGCACAAATAATATAAACAGCAATGGAAATGAACTTTATCTGAGAGGTTGTCACAGAAGTGGCTCATGTTGTCTGCTGTTTAGATCTCCTGCTATCATAATTTCTATGATGGTTTAGTCTTCAGCTTTTTTTCTTTCTAGTTAACTGAATCTTGCTTGTTTTTGGTTTGGGTGTTTTTGGCCTGAAAAATAAATATAAATTAATGCAAAGACTGTTTGATGATGATAATTTATATCTGTTAGCTCTCAGGCTACGTACAGAGAAGGATTATAGGAACTCAACCAAAACAGAAGCTATGGAAATGCACTTGCATACAGTCCAAAAAACCAACAGCGTGTCGAACGGCAGTGATGGAGGCATGCGTAGGTCGAATGCTCAAAGAGAATTTATCAGCGAGATGGGATATGCTTAAAAAAACATCCATCAAGATTTAAAAAAGAAAACGCACAGATGAGAAGGAAAAAAACAACAGAAGTTTTCGTCTGACAGAAAGCCGATGCACAAACATGAAGCTGCATTACTAGTTGATCTACATATTTCCACACACTGTGTAGATGTCACGTTACATGTGCTTCACTGCCACAAACCACGTCAGGAAGCTTTAGTCTGCATGGAAAACCCGGCGCTCTTAGAGTTCCTTGTGCTTCAGAAGCTGGAACAAAAAAATGTTGAGCAGTTTTGTTTAAAAAACATGTTTACGTTGTCATCTAGACATGGCACGGTTGTGAAAACGTTTTGGCAGGTACTTTCACACAGCCACACTAAAGAAGTACACACTAAGGAGCCCAAAGTGCAGGTTTATTAGTCAAAAACATTATTTAGGGAAAATTGGTCTCAAAAGTCATTAGACAGCTGCGTTAGCAGTATTTATCAGTATTAGTTAGCATAATTATTTTGACATTTAGGTCACAATTATGGCTTGAAACAGAAGTATTTGACTTCTTAGTGTTATAAATTAAACTAGCATCGATGTGAGGTCTGCCTGATGGTCTAACGTGGAAACAAGAGTGCGACTGGTTGAGGTTCTTGGTTCAAGCTGTGTATGATGTCCTAGTCAGTCCAGCAAACCTCCATGTCTGCAGCAGGAGTGAGACACCTTCCAGTCCCCTTTGCTTTGGAAAGAACTCCTTCCTGGACACCTTGCCTTTGGAGATGGACACTATTGTTCATCATGACCACTAATAGTGTAGCCATAGCCCTGATGGGCCACCATTAGCCAAAGACCAAAGGGCTGGAGAGAAACCTCATCTACAGTTTGAAGTTTTATTTGGCCTCTTCAGCACTGCCAGTGACTGGCATGTGGTATTGAGCAGGCTGGAACTGGCAGAGAGGCCGTGTGCCGAGTACCAGAAGTGAGCCATGCTAAAGGCAAAGCTGCTGAAGGAGGTAGGATTTGCTCTGCAAAGCTTTTGCATTGCTGAGCATCGTCGGACAGGATTAGAGGAAGTCAATTAGATGAGCTACTGAAGCCTCAGAGAAAGAAACAAGGTGGCTTTGGATTAAGAAGGCAGATCCCTGGATAATTGCTACTGGGGTCTGATCATCCGGGACTGGGTTGCCGGGGAGATGGTGTCTGATGTTGACAGTAAACGCCTCATCATCCCAGGTTAGATCACTGAGGATGCTTCTGTTGCTCACTGCAGTAAAATCTACTTTCAACTGGTACAGCATTAATACGGCACGAGATGATAACTGTGGTGTGAGTGAGTGGGTAGTTTCTCCTTCATCACAAGTCATTTATAGTAAACAAAGGCAGGGATGGTGATATTCAATTTAAAACGGACTGTATTCTCTCGTTTTCAGAGCTTGGTGCTGCCACTTTGAAGCCTGTCCAAGACTTGAATAAACCGCACTGATTGCCATTTTTTTGCAAGCTCACATGAGGGCCCATTGAAACAGATGGATAGGCAAGATTTAAGATAGTCTCGAGTGCCAGAAAAATGATTGGCCAATCAAGTCCATCAGCTTTCCTGCTGCCTCCTGCATAACCTGCTGCTACCAAATCACCCTTATTAAAACTCTAATGAGTTTGTAGCTTCTCAAAAAAATAAAAATAACACCAAATCTGACAGCATTAGATTTTAGGGAGGATTGCTTTGGCGTCATACTTTGGTGATTATTTAGTATGCGTGTGTATGATTAATGTAACTAGGCTACTCATCTCGTGTTTGAGGTTTCTTATATCTGATGGTGGTGGTTGGATACGCAAGCATTTGCGGCACAGCACAAACCCATCAGCGTATTCAGCTTTGTGGGTATCAGCGCACTGCATGTAATGACACATAAGTGTACTGTATATTGCTGGGGTATAAATTGCACAGCTGGAGGCCCCACTTTATATTAGCAGCATGACCTTGCAACAGCCACGAAGAAGCGAGTGAGTGAGCCAGAGAAAACTATAGAAGTATAAACTGCGGTCGTTGTAGATGGATTAAAGAAGCTCTTGATTAAAAATGGATTTTATCAAATGTTTGCGCAGGGCTGCATGAGAACGTATCTCAGCTGTAATATTCATCAGTTTTATGATTAACCTCCACGAAGGTTATAAACAAAAGCCGAGGCCGAGTTAATCACCTGCTGGCTGCAGCTTCACGTATAACGCGCAGACCTTTTATAATTGTATCGATCTTCTCATCTGAACCACGGGCAAAAAAGATAATAAACTTATTTTCCAAAATGTCAAACACTTTCGGTAAAGTTCATTTTTGTCCTGGGAAATCAAAGTTTGACAAAACATTTCAAGTTTAACTGGTCTGAACTGCATATTGTGCGTCACAATAAAAAAAACCTCACTCATGATCAAATTGATATGTTAATAATTGTTAAGCTTCAGATTAGACTACCCGTATTTTTTTGGTTACAAACTTTGACACCTTGGGTTAGGTTTGTACCGTTTTAAAGGTCAACAGTGAACTTTTGATTCTTGCCAGCTTCGTTAGGAGTTTCTCAATGGGAGCCAGTGATTCATTGCTCCTGTTAGATTTTAAAGGTTCTACTTGAAAAGGCCCCAATGGCTACGTCTGTGCAGGTTAAGGCTGTCGAAGAAGGAAGGAGGCAGAGGTAATGACATGCGAGTAATAAGGTGTTTCGGGGATAAGAGAGAGTGCAACAAATACAAAAGTGAATAATTTATGCGTGGCGTGAGAGTGCGTGGAGGGCGGTAGTGCTTGAGGAGAGAGGTTAAATTAGTGGTTATTATAATAATATGAGTTTTTTTCAGCACTCACAATAAAATAAACAGGTGTTCATTAGGGTGAATGTGAAGTGAGGCTGGATTATATCTAATTAGCACATCAGAGTCAGAGAACCATAACTGAATGGATACGTTTAAGCGCGAATCTGCTTCCTTTCACAGTTTAGAGGTTTCAAAGTGCGACAACTGTCGGTGGTGCCAAAAACCAGTTTTCAGCAGTTATTGAAGTATCATTGCCTCCAGCGTTTTTTGTTATATGTTAAACGGAGGCAGTTATTTACTCATCAAAGCAGGTCCTCACAAGAGAGAGCTGTTAAGAAAGAGCAGCTGTTTAATAGGACTATGGAGTCATGCAGGGTTTTAACGGGAAGTTAATCATTATTACCTCAACTACGTTATTGTCTGAACGCTCAAAGACGCAGTGAGTTATCTATTTGCCGAGTTGCACAGAATGTAACTAATAAAGATCCCTATCTGCTGCATTGGTCAGCCCATATTCGTATTTCCCACGATGCTTCAGGTAAACTCGGCGTTTCTTGAGTTTCATTTGAGTAGCTTTCGGTTTTTGTAGTTCATTGTGGTACTGTCTGCTAAATAATAACGCTTTAATTGTTGTCTCTCATCCACTTCTGTCTTTTCATTTTACATTTATTGGCCAGACTGCTGCCAGAGCACCAAACGGTGACCTTGAACATGAGCTGTTTAAAATAAGAGTCAAATTAAACAAGAAACAGAGGAAATAAAAGAATTAAGTAAATTACATCCCTGAGTAAGCAGTGGAAGAACAGTGACGCGAAACAGGAGGACAGCGTGTTTAAGTGCTTTTGTGTGCAAGTGGGGAAAAAGAAGCAGTGCTGCTCATGCACAGACAGATAAACAGGATGAAAGGGCATGGCTGGAAATTGAATTTTCTATTGATTGGTGTCCGGCCGTGAGCTATAAACTTTCCTTTAGTTAGAAATTAAATCAATAGGTAATTAGTTTCTTGCTGAAATTACCAGGCCCTCCCCCCCCCCATGTCTTTATGTTAGCAACCCAAACACTGTCTGATCTCATTTGTTATGTATCCGGTCTGAACCTGTCAATATGGGAGACTTTAGGGAATATTATCTGTATTTGAGGGAATATACTCAATCCTGTTCTGGTTGAAAGTAGGATGAAAAGATCACATTTATGTTGAATGTGAAGCTTAAAAACAACAGAGGTGAAAAAGAGGGTTTCAAAGGCTTCAGTGTGGTCTGATACAACGAAATGATTGAGAGCAGTTCTACTTATTTAAAAGGAGCCACACAGTTTGTGTCTCGTCTCACAGATGAACTCATCTAAGTGAACGTTTTTGGAACACCCAAGTGACGCTACATAATAATAAAATATGATGTAGTAAATAATTTGTGATTCTAAATTGACCCTGGGTGTGAATTATGAATGATTTGTGAATTAGCCAAGCCGGCGACCTGTCCTTGGTGTCCCCCTGTGACTCCTGGGAAAGGCTTCAACCCGTCTCATACACCTGAATTGGATAAGTGCACTAAAATAGTTGAATGATCTACCAGGATGATCATCTGATCAATTAGATTTATTATCCTGTGAGACATAAGAGAATATTTTGCAAGTAAAACCCAAGTTGTCATAAAAAAAAAAATCTGAGGAAAAAGTAATCTTCATATGTTTGTAAAATAAATATTGGTGAAAGCCTTGATGATGCTGAAGGTGTTTTCATTCTAACAGCCTTGCACCTGCAGTGCACGTGTTTAAAAATTATTCTCTGTAGAAGCTGAGCATTAATCTGCAGCCTCACGTCCCCCAGCCGTGCCTCGCTCGCCGCCTCGTTCTTCTTAACTCTCGATCGGTCTCATCAGCACTTCTCTCTTCGCAGCCGCCTGTTGATATTATTTTTCTTTTTTTGCAGATTTCACCTTAAACTAGACAGATTAACTGGCAGCATTGTTTTTCCCCTCTCTATCATCTTGTGCATCAGTACACAACATGCTTTCTCTCTTTGTGTAAAGATCACACAAATGTGCTGATGGGCGCCGGCGCTGATAATTCCTCACCACGCGGAGCCACGGCCGCCACCACGGAAAATACAATCGCCTGTTGATTGATGCAGTATTTATTTAACTGTAGGGTTTCATGTTCACGTGCCTGTACTCTCTGTCCTAAACTGCCTTTTGTTCTGCGTGTGCTTTGTTTCTCAGGCTGGAAGCCCGACTTCAGTCAACGCTCCGTGCAGTTTCTCGAGGACGTCAGTTTCCCCGTCTAGCCAGGACATCTGCAGGTACCTTTCAGTCTGAATTCATGCCAAGAAATTATATTTGTCCAGGTTGATATGAACACCTGCGTGCAGTAAATGAACTTTATTTATCAGTCTATCAGTGATGAAGTTGCTTATCAGTGGGTGATGTTGGCTTAACTTTTACCCCTGAGTGGCACAATGTCACTGCTGGGAGCAGCCTTAGTTGCAAGCTGCTGCTAAATGGAGTTAACGGTAACATTAATCATCTGGTGTTTATATATCCTATTTTTCAAACTCCTTTATTTTTAAATGCATGATGTCTCTTCCATTTCTCTTTTTTGTCTTTCCCCCTACCTTTTCCTGTTGTCCTCTACCGCTGTTGTCTGTTGCGTGCTCCGTTTTCACACACAAACACGCACAATCACATCATCAGTCAAGATCAGGACACTCAGAAGCAGACAGCAGTGGTTCTTTTGAGTTCTAAGGGTAAAACTTGTCAGGGTTCAGGAGATGTTTCAGTGACCACCCTGTGCACAGACGTCCTACCTGCTTCCAAACACGCCAAACAGCGAGACTGGCTCTCTCTGCTGCGTCCGTCCTCCGTCAGCATCCGTTCCAACAACTCGCTCAGGTTTTCGGTGTCTCTGAATGACGTCGGCCAGCGTGTGGACAGTCTTTGCCGAGGTCTGCAGTTTATAGATCGCACGTGCTCTGAGGGAGAGTTGGAGCTGAAGCTCGAGCCCGCTCAGCCTCCTGACTTGGATCGAAGGGCTCACAAACTCAACTGCAAGCTGGCTGCAACGCCCACACAACAGATCCCAAATCCTGGCTTCTCAACGCGCGCCCAGCCCCACCTCGTTCCCTCCTTCACCAACAACTACAAGTACATGTTGGGCATAGCGCCCGCCAGTTGTCTCCCAACTGATCACGGTGTCCTCACCACTCCTCATTCCAACACCCACCACCACCCCCATAACTCCCCAAGCTCCAATTTTCTTCGTCTCCTCCTTCCCTTCTCTCGATCCTCTACATCAGCCAGCCTGCAATGCTCAGACCTGGGCAGCTACGCCTCCCACCTCCACATCAAGTCCTCCAGTGCCCTGCTGGAAGGTAGCGAGTCAGGCTTGCCCTCTGAGGATTTAGTGGGAGATGACGATGTGTTTGAGGAAGACCAGCCCAGTCCTACTTCAAAAGAAACGGGTCAACCAGCATCTCCAAAATTGGTGACAGTGGCTGCGTCAGTTGGACTTCTAGCTCCAGTGTGCTATATGGAAGGAGACAGCGATCTGGACTGCTGTCCATCCCCTTTGTCAGAGAAAACGGGGCCACTGTCACCTTATTCTCTATCCGGGGACTGCTGCAGGTGGGTGACTGTCTGGACGGCGTAATCCACACCCACCCTTCCTGTGACGTAAAGCCCAGACCACCCCTGTACCGTGACGTGGCAGTGAATCCCAGAGCCCTGTGGAGTAGTGGAGAGCTTCTCATCCCATAGCCTGTATACCCAGAAAATATCTCGTTGTGGTATTTGTAGTCTAAATCCCTGCTCAGAGTCGAGCAGTTACTCAGAAGGACCTGACACGTAGATGCTTTAATTTCCACACACCACAACACTGTCCTCCACCTCCTCAGCTGTTCCAATTCAACCCTTTTGTGTGTGACACAAATATGCCGTAAAGTAATTTCATACCATCTAATTTCACTTCACTGTTATCTCAATGTTCTGCTGTGTTTTTCATTGTGCTGCCAAGCTGTGTTTTTAAAATATTTTTTCATTTGTTAGATCGATGAGGCAGTAAAGTGTCGTATATAGGCTGCAAAAAAAAAAAAAAATCTGATTGATTTTGGCTCATAAGCCTGAGGCTTTGCAGTAGGAATAGAGGGCAATAGGACTATTATGGAATTGATAGAAGGGCAGAGGTTAGCATAGAAAATTTAATAGCACAGAGGAACAGAGTATATGTCTGAGAACTAGTGGAACAGAGAACAATAAATAGCCCGTGTCTGGGTCCACCATCAGTCTTTGTCACATGACCAATTGGATGCTGTCTTACTGCCAGAGCCAGTTCTTATTATAAAGACACATTGTGAGTAACTTTCTTACAGACCAGGTCATGGCTGCGAGGTCTCTGCAGATGAGTAGATCTTGCTGGTTGCCAAGAACGGGAATTTTGAGCATTAACTCCTGCTGTCGATACGAAGCGTGGCAGCACTTCACTGGATTAATGAGATCTAAAGGATTTTGAATTATATATGACTCTGTTTGTTGTCACTTTGGCTCTGGTGTGTGCATCTACTGCTTTCCAGATTTACATGTCAGCTGTGGGCCGATGGAGAAACACCAGCTTAGAAGTGGCAAAGTGAAGGCCAGAGATCAAAAGGCAGATTATTGGCTTCAAATAGTCTGACTGCACACACACACACACACACACACACAAACACGTTATTCCAGTTCTCTGTCAGGTGGCTTAAAACGTGAGCGCAGCTCTAATGCTGACCTCACCTATGAAAAGTATGTGTGGGAGGTTGTTTGTTTCACAGGTGACTAGTTGGTTAATTATTATCAAACTCCTTTATTGTCAGCAGTTCAGAGAGTAGTGGCTGAAAGTCAGCTGTGTGAAGGGAGTTGCTTCACTTCCTCATTAGAAATGTCACCAAGCAGATAAGTGTTTCTCATCTAGACGCATTACAAAATGGCCGGATTTGCTTTGTCATAAAAAGCTTATTCCTTCAAAGAATTCAAACATTCCTATTGATTGCATTTGTATGTTTGCTGGCTCAGGGAACCAAGCTTGACAAGGAAGCATTTGACTTGAAAATTCACCTTTCTCACTTGAAAACTATTTTTATTCCAGATATAAATAAATAAATAAATAAATAAATAAATAAATAAATAAATACATCTTGTGGTCTGGAGCCTGTCCTGTAGGGCAAGAGTTGGATGGACAGGTTGCATCTGTCTCAGCGGTAGTACAAGAGAAAGACATATCTGTGGGCAATTTAGAATTACACTTTAACCAGGTAAGCACGTGTCTTTGGACTGTGGGAGGAAGTCGGAAGTTCCCAGAGAAAATCCACACAGACACGCGGACAACACGCAAACTCCACTTCGAAAGGTTCTGGCCAGATGTTGTCACATGTGTTCACAAAATTCTAATCAAAGAAAGATGTGTGGTTTTTCAAATTAATAATAACTTGCTTAAGCATGCAAGCACAACAGGAGGCTATCCTGTATAGTCGTAACCGCATGGTTCACCTTTACAGGTACACAAATTCATAAAAGCATTAACAAACTACTTTGAACCACATTGTGAACCCGTGTGTAATCATATGCATATTTTTTTCATTTGAATTTGTTTATTTGAAAGGGGCCGTGCATATTAATGAGCATATCAGTGTAAATATGCCAGATTTATCCAAAAGGCTGCTTTTCATCTGTAGTCGCTGGCAGGTCAGACAAAAAACAGTAAACAAGGAATTAAGCAGACCGTCAGACAATGTCAAACAATGTAGTCCAGACAACAAATACATCAAATTACAGCATAACATCTCATAGCAAAAAAAAGAACAAGTAAATATAAAAACTTACAACATTAAAGATGATTGATGTTATTTGTAAAATTAACGATCACTAATCTGATCCCCTTTTAGCCATCGTTTGAGATGAGTTTTAAATGTATTGCAGGTAAAGAGGTCATACATGTAGTAACTAGTTATCCGTCCCTTATTTAATCCAAACTTTTTTCCAGTATACTCACACTCTGCACCATAAATAAGCTTCATGTGTTGTTATTTTCCATGCTATGTTGTTTTCAGTGTTGTCTGTTGTTGCGTGCACTGAGAGCAAAGAAACAGCTGGAGCCCAATTCCTTGTATGTGTACGAGTACTTGGTCAATAAATCTGATTCTCATTCAGATACAGAAGTGCAAAAATATCTGTTTTTGGTAGCATAGTTTACAAAATAAGAGACATAAAGACACACACATCAGAACAGTAGGGAGTCACAGAGTGTGAGCACAAAATCTTGTCAACACATTTCTGTTTGTGTGCAGTTTTTGATCAGGCTTTAAATGAGGGGTGTGTACTCCAAATTCAGTCCTTCTCGGTCGCTGCGGCGTTTGCTGCAGGTGCACTAAGCTCCCAGCGCTTGGTTGTTACTGCGATATCTGTGATGTGGGTGTACAACCTTTTCATTACCAAATTGTAGGATTTAATTTCACTTACAGCTTTGAAAGTGTGTCGGCAGAATTCAGCCGAGGGAGCACAGTGACCTTTTCAGATGGGCCTGAACCCCCCCCCTTTTTTTTTTTTCCTTAACCATGAACAACCTCCTAACTAAATCACAGCGATTGTACTCAAGTTTATATTTTCTCCAGTTTTTGTTTCTTTACTTTGATACATATGCATTACTGAATGCATATGTGTGGATTAGGCAAGAACATGCAATGATTTTCAAATAGTTGGCATCGATTTTAAAAAAAAATTATCAAAAGTTTTAGTTATTCCATAATCAACTAAATGTAGGATTTAATGACTCAGTTTTTAATTTGCAGGAAATTCAAATAACATTGAGCCACAGTGGCTCTAATGTTCAAAAAAACAGCATTACAGGGTAGCTTTTAAGCTTTTAAATCTGACAGCATAAAACAGCTAGGGTTTGTGTAATTCCTTAACCTTCCTCCAACAGTTAAATGTCTCCTCAGCAAATTTAATATTCTCTTTGAAGGCAAGCGTGCTCATGCAAAGACAAACGAGTACCCGCTTAAATGATCAGAGACAAGAAAGGAGAAAGAAAAATAAAAGGAGACAGAGAGAGATTGCTTAGCTACTAAAGCCACTAAATTGATCAGCATGTCTCTGGCAGCGCTTAAACTGCGCAGACTGAAAAGAGTCTGAGAGGCAAATACTTCAGATGCCGCACATATCTTCCACAGGAAAATCTATTCAGCAGAAAAGCAAGAGAAGACAGATTAGTGGTGTTAAAATTCATTTGAAAAAAACATACACATACTTTTTTGGATGAGGGCAGAATGAGGAATAACTGGAGGGAGGGCAGTGTTTAAGCAACACATCGAGGGAGTGTGGAGTGCAAAAGACTGGCTTCATGCCACCAGAGAAAATTATAAGGAAGCAAAAAAAAAAAAAGAGGAACAGGAAGAAAGCGAACGCTTCGGCAGGCATTTGAGCTTGTTTCCTTCTCAGCTTCTGGGGCTTGTGATTTCCTGACTCTGTTTGCTTCTCACATTTTAATGTTGTCATACTCGTACGGCGCCTCTGCCATCTTAAAACTACCGTCAAACAGGGTGTGTTGTGGATGCAAGTGATGCAAATTAAATTTTAACGTCCTAAGAGTGCACGGAATGTGCCGCTGCTAACAAAAAGTTAATTTACCTGCGAATTTCCACGCCTGGGTTATTATGTTAATCTGTTGGAATATATGGATGCGCCTCGTGTTAAATGACGAAGGTGAATGTTGCGTGCTTTATTTGTGAGATTTCTTGCGTCCCGCCGAGGCGGTTCAGCCTGTTGTGGAATCAGGTGAAAGTTCCCTGAATGTCTCAGTGAAAGATTCCTCCGCCCTCATCCGCTCGTGTTGTTTACCGATCGCTGCATTTCCACCGCAACTCCATGCGGAGGTGTTGGGATTTTTCTGTGGTTATCTCCTCCCACATAAGAAGAATAATTTGTCAGATCTGTTTATTTCAGCAGGCAGAAATCGTTGATATAAGCACCAAATGATCTACTTCCTCTGGCTTTTCTTTTTTTAAATTGAAATAGAAATACAGTATGTGTGGGATGAGAATCTGCAGTTCATCATCTCGTTATGCATGCAAATGAACACAAAAAAAGCAGTCTATCCATAATCAAAAACAACAACAACAAAAAACTTATTCTAGTGATGTCGATTGTGTCTCGCCTTTCCTTTAATCCCCCAGGCCTTATTCCACTTCTTCCACCTCCTCTGCTTAAGAACCTTTGGATATGACCTATTTTTATCCACCTTTGTTCACTTTGTCTTTTAATCTTGTAACACTCTGGCCAGTTCAGCAAAGTCTTGAAATAGACGTCATCTCGTGTGCTCCCTTTTCTAACATGTGTGAACGCATACGTGGGCGTGCATGTGTTCCTTCATGTTGTTATCCCTCCATGAACCAGGATAAAGACAATCCCATCTGAACACCCGGCTCTCTCCGCCTCCTCCTCCTCCACCTCGTCTTCGCCACGCTTTGTTTGCTTGCATCTTCCAGCCCATAAAGACATGCCATTGCTCCTCGCTACCCACTCAGGAGAAGAAAGCATCACAGAAGACGTTCCTGGATTATTGATCTTACTGCCTGTGAAATCTGTAGGGAACAAAATGTATTTGAAAAATAGATTAATAGAACATGTGCCCTGCTTTGTGTATTCTGTACCCATTTAAGGTATTATTTGCTTTTTAAGCTACAACACCTTTAACCCCTTTATCAGGCACCCTGGTAGTCTAGAGAAAGACATCAGTCCGGCTTTTAATCAATGTCATGTTGTGGTCTAACAAGCAGCCTGATTTTGGTGCTTATTGGTTATTCACTGAGGACTGTAATCTGAAAAACCACAACAAAGTCGATGTCCTGACATTGAAGTCTAAGATCATAATAATTTTCTACTTTCTCAAGTAAGGCATGGCGTGTGATGTAACCTCCTCTCACCACTAAAACTGACAGATCCTGACTATCGTGCAGGTGAAAGTGTCCACATAGTCTGGATTTGCTCAGACTGCCCATCAATCTGCCTTTCACTGAGTGGAAAGATTCGGACAAACATACTCCTCCTTAGTGTCTGGCAACGCAGACCAACATCCTCCATCCTATCAGACAGCATCTGATGTGTGTGATGTTGGAGTGGTGGACTCCTTCAAGTCAGTCTATTGGAAAAGTGATTGGTTCCTCTCACTGACAACAGACTGTCCAGCAGTCATTAGAGGCAACAGACGCCTAATCGAATGTTCCAGCTGTCGGTGTCTGTACTCGAGGCTTTCCAGGCATCTACGGGGACTGGACACAGCATCACAAACACCTGTTAAAGAGAATATAGCTGCTTCCTGTAGTATTTTTAACGAATATCGTGTTCATGTGGTTATTTTTTGGCCAACATTTGTTAGGTGTTAAAAGTGCAACAACTCCAAGGCACTTCAGCCTTCATCAGCGTTCGTAGCAGCGCATTGCAGCGATACACAAACAGACGTATTTGTCATGGACTGTATTACAGTAATTAAAAAACTCACATATTTATAACATTTATTACCTCTTGTCTGACAATGAAACTCAGTGCTGTACAGCTACAGAGCGAAATGACATTAAAAGTGTTCAGTTTTGCACGGAAACACAAAAAACGCAGGAGATGAGTTTCTCAAAATGTTGTTTGGACTTGCAAATGAATCTATTTAGTTTGTCTTTACTGGGTTTACTCATGTGGGACATGTATTGTCTGCTGTGACAAGGGTGTTAATTTTGTTTTCTCTGTTTGTGAAATCATATTCTCACCTGTTTACCTAAAGCTGTTGTAGGTGTGGAAAAATCAGTTGCATATTGTGCTCTTGGCGATGCTACTCCAGCTTTGCTGACGTGCAGTCTTATATTACACAACTCCCAAGTTTTCTCAGTGTGTCGCCTTCGCCTGCCAACTTTTCCCTTTTTGATCTTTCCCCTCTCTCCCATCTTGCTCCTGTTACTAGCTGTCTAGCCTGTAGCTTAGTGTTGACTGTATTCTCTGCCTCCCGCAGGATTTGTCACTGCGAAGGGGATGACGAGAGCCCTCTGATCACACCATGCCACTGCACAGGGAGCTTGCGCTTTGTCCACCAGTCCTGTCTACAGCAGTGGATCAAGAGCTCTGACACTCGTTGCTGTGAGCTGTGTAAATACGAGTTCATCATGGAGACTAAACTCAAACCACTGCGCAAGGTAAGCTGGTTAGGTGTGTGCATATTTGGCTGTTAAGCAGTTCAGCCTCAGTTATTAAAGTCACAGTCTTGTCTCTGCGTCCTAGCTTAGCTCACATCACTCCTTTGTTGTGAAGCGAAAAATACCAAAAAACTATCTCCAGTCTTGTCGTGCAGACACAAGAGCACAATAAGCCATTTTCATAAGCAAACCACTTGTCCGGGTGGTTGTGATCCCTTTCGGTGGTTTAGAGGCAGTCCACGTTCCTGAAAGGCTCTTATCAATCACTGTGGCCTGAAGATAGCAGGACACTCTAATTAAAATTCCTCCACCCTTCATTAGCTGCACAAAAGGCCTTAAACAAATGCTCTGCTGTTAATAGCTTCCGAATCCCATGGGTGAATATTGAAGTTGTTCATGTGTGAGTGCACAAGGAAATTTGAGATGAGAGGCGGATGTTGTTGTCAGTATGAAAGTTTTTATTAAAGAGTGCTTGATGTCATGTTGTTCGGCAACACCCGCGTCTTATTAAAGTGACCCTGCAATTATTCATCACTGAATTCATTATTATGGATTTGGATGTTTGGGAAAGCTACACAAAGCTATCTGACAGTACAGATATCATGTGATTTCTTTTTAGTGCTGGGCAGATTTCTGGCATTTATTTTAGTGCAGCCAATGATTGACCAGGTGCTCCACAGTTATCTGAGCTTCCTGGCAGGTAGCAGGGTATATCACCTGGATGCTGCATGCCATGCTCTTCTCTATCTCATTAACCCTGCCAAGAAGCATTGTGTAACACTGGATTTTGCTGACAGGAGCTGAATAAAAAAGGCCTTTATGGTACTTTCACATCTGGGAAAAACAGTAGGTGAAGACTGCAGCACAACCAAAATTTATTGCGATTGTGTGCAATGAACTTGCAATCTTGTGGCTGTCGAAATGGCTGCTCTGAAGACGGGGACCAGGTCGGCAACCAGTTGCAATCAGTTGCCATCTTCGAAGTGATAAAACTCCAATAAGCATGGGATCAATGGGATCAAGCTGCCTATTGCATGCAATCTATATGTATTAATACGGCAATTAACCAAATCTGCTGCTGTCTACATACACAGAAATTCAAACACGAAATTGCTTAGATCTGAAACAGAAATTCCTCCACAAACAGCGTCTCGATGTTATACAGGAGTATAGCCAGAATGCAACCAGTCGAGTCCGCTGCTAAGTGATCAGATTCAGGCGAGTTGCGCTCATCCATGCAGACCGACTCAGATTATAAATAATACAGCAGTGATTTGCAAACCTTCACCAGCCTGTGATTGCAGTCAGCCTGAGTCAGATCGTGATTGTTGGGAGACGAGTTGCCTTGTCAACAGTTCTTCGCCCAGAAGTTAAAGGTGTTACTTGATAAACCTCTGGGCAACCACTTGTTTCTAACCACAAGGAGGCTACCACCCTGATTTTAGTGTTTCAAACAAAAACTGTATATAAAAGATGGATGATGCCACCTTCACCTCCCTTAACTTTGCCATCAAGGCTGCCTTCCTGTTTTTTTGTGGTTGTTTATTTGTTTTGTTTTGTTTTGAATGGCCTTGCATAGGTAGCCATATTTAGATCAAAGGGTAGAGTGCTGTCATCTTATGCTAGCAAGCCTTTTTAGCAGGCTGCATTCATCAGTTGTGGAGGTGCAATACAGAGACGTATATATCTGCTAATTGGTGCTAACTAACAGACTAATCAAAGGAAATAGAATTTCACTAACCAAAGCTGGAACATGAACATTTCAGACAGACTGTCTGTAGAGATGAAAACAGTTTTTGTAGCAGAATGGAAACATGTTTTTATGACTGAAAATTGGCATTTCAGTGTAGGAGTTTTAGGGGATTGGCTCACTTTGGAGCCAGTTTCGACTGGCCATTAGAGGAATTTGATCTTTGGCTTCAGTTTTCAGCCATAGAGGCTCTGCTTAGTTTGAAAGCATGTTCCTTTTTTTATTTTTATTTTTTTTAAATGTGTGTGAATATGCTCAAAAGTCTTCCATCTTTGGCAGTGGGAGAAACTACAGATGACGGCGAGCGAGAGAAGAAAGATCATGTGTTCAGTCACCTTCCACATCATCGCCATCACCTGTGTGGTGTGGTCCCTCTACGTTCTCATCGACAGAACAGCAGAGGAAATCAAATCAGGTCAGCACTGACTCTCACGCACACAAACAAACACTAAAACATTAATACAACATCGTCTGTGGTACATGTTTGTTTTGGATGTTATCTATTCATCCACAATTGTCTCCAAGTTGTGACTAGCACTCAAAAATATTCATCTCATTCTTTGACACTTTTAGAGATTGTTTTAGTTTAAGTGAGGCAATTTTTTTTTAAGTGATGCTGTTTTTGTGTGTCGAAGGTTAGTTTGTGGTTAATCTGACTGTAAAAGAAAAACTGTACTCAGCAAAATAACCAGACAGGAATAGTGTGCAAAGTCTGGAATTTTTTAGCATATATGTGTGATGTGAGTGGTATGACAGCTGTGTGACAGCAGCAGCTCGTATCAGTTTGGCACATGCGTGTTTGTGGCAAAAAATTGGATGCAACAGCTGACTACACATCACACGCAATGCTTTACATCACTGAAGTGACAAGGATATGGAAACGATTTACCGTAGGGTGATTTTTCTTATGAACTTCTTTTTGCAAGCACAGGAGTCGACCACTGTCGGCCACTAGAAAGACGGTACTTGTGCGTTGCCCTTATTTTTCATAGCTCATACATATTTTTCTTTAAATACTAGTATAGACCCACTCTACACTATTGTTTGGCCTGTCCATATTGTTTTTGGTAAAATTAGAATAACGTGACACTTTAAATGGCTGATTTTTATCCCATTGGTGGGTGGTTGCTTGGCAACATGATGACATTGTAATTTGCCATGTATAAGTCGACTTTTAGGAGTATAATTTTTTAATTGATGTAAAATGAAAACAACAAGATATTTTCTTGAGGTGTCATAGGTACATAAACAAGTGACTTTAGCCTGTTGCTAGGAGGTGCCAGACAACATGATGACATCATAATATTTGAAATAGATAAAAAACCTTTAGGCTGTGTGTAGGAGGATTTGGAGGCCTGCTTATTTATCATTATGAAGCACATCTGTCTGTCTATATTTGCTGAATTCAGTCTTTATTGCAGGTTATTTACATATTCAAAGGGCTTCCGCTTCAGACCTGGTAGCTACAGCCTTCTTTTATATACAGTCTATGGACTTAGATAACTTATTATTCTGATATTTTAGACTGGAAACGGCTAGCACAGCTATATCCAAATGTAAACAAAATGTTCCTGGTTTTTACTCTTGTGTTTGACGAGCACATCAAAGTGTAGAAAATATGTAATGAGTGCTGGACTGTTCATGAATGGGCACAGCATATTTTGGGGACTCTCAGGAAGGCTAAAAAGGGACCGTTGATCTGAACACATCAAAATGACAAACAAATAAGTGAGTTTGTGGTGCTTATAGCGTGATTTTGTTACTTTTGAGGAAAGCTAACTGGCCACTCATGCTTTATGTAGCTTACAAACATGAGTGGTATTGATCTGAAATACAATTCCTTCAAGGTGTGCAGTTTTCTGAGCACAGCATTTATGTTTACATTTTTATATTTATTGAAAAGGGTGACTGCTTTCTTCCATCGCAATATTTCAGATTTTGCCTCTAGCTTTTTCCAGTTTTATGCGTGTGCCAAACTGGTACCTGCTGCTGGCTATAGTAAAAATGTCCAATAAGCGGGGCTTTATGGTTTTTCATTCAAATCTCAGAATAAGAGGAAAATAACACTGGGCTCCCTGAGCTGCTTCTTACAGCCATAAAAAGTGGGCATCCACTTTGGGCTCCCATCATCAGGGATAAAAATGGAGAATGCTCCTGTAATGGTGACTTGTTGTAGCATCAGCTGGCACTACCTCTGCTGCTACTCATCCCTCCCTGGCATATTTGGCACTTTCAAAACTGTGTACAGATGGAAGAGCAGGCTGTGCCTGTTAAGCCCAACCTGATGATTCAGACTTGCTACAGTCCCTGAGGGCTGTCAGGTCCAGTCACCATGGTGATGCCAAATAGTCCTGCTTGTCTGCTGCCTCACAGAACCACGGCCATTTATTTTTCTTCTAGATTCGCTCTCAAAATAAAAGGAAAGATGGATGTAAACATCTTGACGTTTGTTCTCCATGTATGATTGTGGAACAGAGCTGTTGTTGATTGCATGATGAAATTGTGTAAATGTAATATCTGACATCGTTTTTAATTTCTGCCTTTTCTTTCAATCTGTTTGTACGTCTTTTGTAATACATGATACTTACACTCTTTACCCATGCAGCCGGAAGAGTCCCAGGTAAACATTTCAACTTTGACCTTTTGACTTTCACATTGTGTCTTCTCCCTCCCTTCTGTACCAAGTCCTTTTTTCAGCCACTCTTTACGTCCTTTTCTTTCTTTTTTCTTCTTTGATTTCCGAGTAGAAATAATCGTACTTCATCCTTTAAGGCTGGTTATATTCACACCACCTCCCTGAATGTTTCCGCCTAATGAACACAGACAGACAAAGCTGAGGAACATGCTGTGATTTATTTTCTGTGTTATACTTTGTGGCTGAAGGCTTTGATTAAAATGAACCTCGCTGACATATTCTCACACAACAAATGACACATTAATCGCTTCTCATAATGCTAGATAGAAAGCCCCTGACATCTCTGTCCAGCATAGTTAATACCACACTGGTTATATTATGTTTGCCTTCTTTGAATTGGCATTCCTCATATGAGGCACTTTTATATCTTAAACTAGCTGTTATGGTAGCCAATATGAAGAAACGGATGGGTTTCGGGCATTTTTGAGTACTTTCGCTGCCTCTTATTATTTGTTTTAGAGAGCACTGAGGCTTATTACAAATATTTATATGTCCCAGAAATTGCTAATTTATATCCTCTTCTTTGATTTCTGCTTTTTGCAAGGATGTTATAATTACCCCTGGAGTTACAGAAATGTACTTTGCCTAATTAACTGCATATCACATTAATGCTAAGCGTTTTGCATAGACAGATGCACCTTTTTTTTGCAGTGTTTCCACTTTTAAAAGAGTCATTTGTTTGTTCATTTTTTTGTACCAAAGGCTCCCAGCCTATCATGAAGTAGAAATGTTGCAGCAGGGTGCCACCATTTATCCCCCTGTTTCTTTGTTTCTGTTCGTCTAATTGGGCAATTCAATTTTGAACACCATGTCTGTAAATTGTAAATTGTGAAAAGTCTGCACTGCAGTATAGATGGATATAATAATATAAGAGAGTTTCTAAAAAGCAGTCAGCTGAGAGATGTGTATAGGTTGTAGAACCAGATAAGAATTTCAGATGATTTAGTTACTGAAATATCTGAAGTCTCAACAGTGTGGAGGAGATGAGCCATTGCACACGGAGAGCTGGAGAGGGCCGTATAAGGGCAACAACTATTGTGGCTACTCATGCTTCCCCTTTTTTGGGGGGTTGACTTGTTTGTTGTTGCCTCTCCATTGCACCTGTTAGTTTCATTTATGCCAGAATAGGTGAAATCACAGTGGTTTCTGCTTCCTTAATTTCCTTCACATTTTTGAGCAGTGTGTAAATTAATGCACACAATAAACTAAATGTTAGTGTCAGCTGCCACAATGCAAACAATATAGCATATCTGAAAATATAACTTAATAATTGACTTTTATCCCATTGACTGGCCCCACCCACATTGCATTACCATAGAAATATGACAGGATGCTCGCTATCTCATGCGTCTCTCCATGCTCAGGACTTTGACTTTAATCCTGTACAAATTTGACTTTTAAAAAAAGGCAAATCTCTATCAGTAAATTGTTAAGATCTTGTTTGAAAAAGTAGAGCACACTGGGCAATTTGTAATAATAGTGTCTATTTGCAGTATAGAGGAATGGGAGACACAGTTTCCTGCAGCGGATATCCTCACTGCTAATGCATATTCTAGTTAAAGGATGATCTGTTGAACGATTCACTGAAATGTGATGAATTTGCAGCAGCTTATAAACCAGTGCTTCTCTCCGTTTTATTCAGATCTCCTACACTTGAACATAAATAAAGTGCATCTGCTTTTCTTTTTTTTACAGTCTTCTCTGTGTTTGACTTGTCCACTTGTTGATATTTATGTATTTATTTATTTTTTGTCTGTTCTCTGTTCCTCAGGAATCCTGGAATGGCCTTTCTGGACCAAGCTTGTGGTGGTGGCCATCGGATTTACAGGTGGACTGGTTTTCATGTACGTCCAGTGCAAAGTCTACATCCATCTATGGAGGAGACTCAAGGCGTATAACCGGGTCATATATGTGCAGAACCGTCCAGAGACATATAAAAAGTATCCACTGGAGAAGCCCCCCCTAATGGAGCCGAGTCTGGAGAACAAAGAGGCTCTGGCCCCCAATCTGTCAGACACAAACTCCTCCCAGTACACGGAAACAGAGGACTACAGTATGGAGGTGCTTCATGTCTGACAACAGAGTCTGTGCCATTGGTTGTCGTGCACATACTCCACACCCAAACAGGCCCGCAGAGGAGAGGAACAGTCGTGATCGGTCACTGAGGAACAACCGTACCCTTTTCCCTGAAGCCAGAATGACCCACGTCCTCCACTATCACCTTATACTCCCTAAACTCCATCCACAAAGACAGAGAGGCCATGAGTTTCCCTCTGCCTACATTCCTCCTATCACACTGTATTCCTCCCTCCACCTGCATCTTTTCCTTTCCCAGGAACAGACTCTTTACACTGACTTCTGTAAATGTTGGAAGAGGCCTGGTGCAAACCACTCTGTGTACACACACACACACACACACACACACACACACACACACACAGACTCTTTAATGTACACCTCTGGGAGAGCTGGACTGAAAAGAATGGACTTGCAAAAGGCTCTGGAGGTCTACAGGTCCCCGATGTGTGGTTTGTTTGTGGGTTTTGATCAATCTGTTCTTTTTTTTACCTCCTGTGAGTGTCGGGCTAACCTGCCATGGATCAGTATGTAGCGCCATGCATCAAGATCTCTGGAACATTCCAGATACTGCCATCTCTGCGGTCTGTCAGCTCCACGCGGTCTGGATCCAGCGAGACCTGGATCCGAAGATGCATCAAAGCACTTTTTATTTTTTAGTCCCCAAAGCACATCCCACCCCTTCTTCTCATTGCCCCCTCTTTTTTTTTTTCTTGTATCTTGTACGTTGTAAATGGGGGAGAGCAAACAAACTTTTCTTCAAGTGCAACATATGCTTAAAGATTAATCCTTCTGTGGATGACTAAAAGGATTTGGGGTTAAAAAAAATGAGTCATTTGAACGACGTCAGTTGCATAATGGTGGAAAATCTAGCCACTTGACTTCTGTACCCCATGGTGAACTTTCTGAAGGCTTTGAGAATGTAATCTTTTTAAAAATGATTTCAAAAAATTTATAAAATGTAAAGAAAAAAAAATCATTTTTTTACTGGTCACGGGAAATGGCGCTTTGTCTCGATCATAATGAGGCCCTTCAGGCATAAACAACGTCGCGCTTGTGTTTTGTTTTCTTTCTTTGTTTTTTTTAAAATAGGTATTTACAGTTTTTAACATGTTAACTCGCTTGCTTAGCCATGGGACAAGCCTCGAGGAATCCACAGCTGCCTACTTTCAGTTTGTCCACTGAACTTTAACCAAAGGTTTTAACTACAAAAAAGAAACATGCTTTAGCTCCTACCCTGTTTTTTTGCATGGTTACAATCCAGCCACACTTAATCTTTTCACTTAAAAACACCGTTTTTTGCCACGTTTACTCCACAGTTAAGCATTAAGAATGACTTTGAAGTCAGTGTAACATTTCACTGCTGCTCATTGCGTTCAGAAAAACTCAGTTTCTTTTAATAAAATCAATGCAATACAGCTGCTTGTTTATGGCTGTGACAGAGTCGATGTGCATCATTGCTTTTTGAGGAGCTGACTGTACCGCCATCTGCTGGTGTTAAAGTGAAGGTGCAGCCTGAGATGGGCAGCGGTTGATTTCTCAGGTCGACGTGGGTGTTTTTTCTGGGGGGGGGCTCACAGTCATTGTAAGTGTGTTTGTCTATGTGAGAGCACAGCAATGCCCAGGCTCATGTTGAGCCTTACAGCCATTCCAGCAACACACACATTTTTCAAAAACTGTATTTGATACCAGTATACTGTCTGTGAACAATGATGGTCCAACAACGTACCTGACAATTACTGCTCAGCAGCAGCAATAAAGCGCTTTGGGTTTTTTTTGTTTTGTGTTATTTGCATACTGTATTTATGTATATGCCCCAGGGACACTTGAGATCTGGAGTTTAATATAATTTTAATACATAAATGAGCCGAGGGACTTGTTGTGTGTCAAGTTGGATTAAGACCTAGTAATGAGAACCATCTCAGATTCTTCAGTACCCGGGAGGCTCAGTGCAATTAGACAGATTTTATTTTTTAAAAAGTGCAATTACCCTTTTGTTGATGTTCTGTTCTGCAATTATGTACCGATGTTTAAAGTCCAGGATGTCCTCTGGATAGAAAATTACTTTCTTTATATTGTGTTGTATTTATTTTTAACTGAAAACAGCATATTTTTGTTCATTTACACACAAAAAAGACCCTTTCATTAGTGAATTTTATGCAACTTACACTTAATTTTTCTTCCCAGACACTAATAGAAGAAAATTATTTTCAGCCCTTGTTTTGCATGTAGTCATTCAGATAATAGAGTTCCTCGAAGCTTCAGTCCTTTTTTAGTTTTTAAATTGATTGTGGTGTCTTTTTACTTTCTCCCCATAGGAGCTGGCTCCTTCAATGAAATATGAGAGGAGTTTTGTTCTAGTGTGATGGCTTTGGATTGTTTCCTCTCTGAGCATCTTATCCTCTTTACCGTCTTTGCGTCACTCACCCTTTACGTCCATAATCCCACGGAGCAGAACATCAACTGAGACTCTTCTCAGCCTCACTATTTTAGGCTGTCTGTTGATTACCTGGTGACTAAAATTTGATCATGTCTGGGACTAGTGTAACTTGCATAAAAGCTACATTTGTTTACTACTGACTGGACTTGAACATATATGACTGTTCCCCTGTCTTATACCATTCCGCAAGTCTGTCTGTGAATTTGCTTTGAAATAGTAACTGTAAAGATTTTGGTAAAATGTACTTTTTTGTTTTTATGAAAAATGTTGATGTGCTTTCAGTTAATTTCCCACGTTTGAACAAAATATGTAGTAATTAAAAGAACAACCAAATAAAAAATTAAGTGACTTTTAAAACTTTGTGACTTTTAAAAAAAAAAAAAAAACGAGCAGGGACAAATCCAGTCTTAATGGATAATTAAAAACATTTCAAAGGGCGTTGCGCTGTAGCACTTTAATTTATTTTCACCCAAATAAGCTGCAAATCATTTTGAAATCAGCTCTTTAGCCAGAAGCTGTAATGCCAGCGACAGAAACGTTCAGCTCGCCGCTCGATGATCTTGCCCTAAAACTTTTCTATGACAGAAATACAAACTTCACATTCAGCATATAGCAGAAAGCACGGTTTGTCACCTTCTCTCAACCTCTTAAGTAATTGTTATGCAAGGGCAAGATGAGGAAAGGCACCATCGTTTGAGTGAATGAAGGCAACACAATATGTACCCATGGATCTTTAAAAAATAACTCTCAAACTTTTTTTTGTGATTGAAAAAGGTAAACTTTCACATATTCTATATTAATCACACACTAATTCTCACAAATTAGAATATTGCTTGCATAAATTACTATTCAAACATAATGATTAAACAACATATCTTCGGCGGTGTAGTTCTACTGCTGATTGGTCAGTTGTCCAGATGAAGATTGCCAGCACCCTCCTAAAGGAGAGCCACACTGCTGAAAAGGCTGGCTGCTCACAGACGCTGTATCAAAGCATAACAGCAGGAAGTTGACTGGACAGGGAAAAGGTGCACAAGCAGCAGCCTTGAGAGGATTATCAGGAGAAGTGGAGTGAAAGAGGAGTGAAAGAAGCCATCTATGTCCACTGTGAGCGACCATCTTTGAACAGAGGCGGGGGTTTACGACACCAACTCTCTGCCATCTATAATCCAGTTTTGAGATCCCTTCCCAGACGCCTTAACGCCCACTCACATCCTGGGCCATCTGATCTCAGGAATTTGCATGATAAGGTGGGGCCAGGTTTCACAATGAACACACCAGAAACTCTGGCTGATTGGGACCCACACCCAGTTTCACACCTCGGCTCAGGCGATTAGAGGATCATCAGGGGGTCCTTTTGTCCCTCTGTGGGGGGAAACTCCCACTAGGTTTATATCTGGGACTCTCCACCATTTGACCTTAGAACTGAAGAAGCTTCTCGGATGAGAGGTGAAACGTCTTCAAGCAACTTAAAGAAGTCCAGACGCTTTTCTTTGCAAGCTCCTTTGATCAGGAGAAGTCGATTCAAGAATTTGGGAGAACTTCACAAGGACTGCAGGAGAGACATCCTTAGGAAAGGACCCACATCCGTAACATCAGGTCATTCCTGTCAGAAGCATCTTACATGAGCTAAGGAGAGAAGGAAGTGAACTGCTGCTTATTTCAGATGAAGTACATTTTCTATCAAAGTACGAGACTGGAGAGGCACAGGTGTTTGAATTCTAGTGTGAACTTTCTGGAATCTGTGATGATGCGAGGTGCTGGTTGTTACTGGTGGTTGGTCCACTGAGATTCATCAAGTCCAAAGTCAACACAGGCATCTACCAGGATATTTTAGAGCTTCACGTTTCCTTTTGCTGAGAGGCTTTATGGAGATACGGATTTCATTTTCCGGCATGAAGCTTAGCATCTGCCCACAGTGCCAAAATGATTACCAGATGTTTTTTCTGACCATATTATTATTATTATTGTGTTTGATTGGCCAACCAGCTCACCTGACCTGGACTACAGAGAGAATGTGTGGGGTATAGTCACCGTTAGATGAGAAACACCGGACTCAAAAAGGAACACAAGCTAAAAGCTGCTGTCAAAAACACCTCAGCAATTTTGATTCATTTCAGGAAATATTCAAATAATTTGGGACCCTGGATTTTTGACCATAACCAGCATAATTAAAGCATTTTTTTTAATGTTCACTTTACGTATAATGAATGTAGATTATATGAAAGTTTATCTTCTTGAATTATTACAATAAAAACCTTCAAAATATTCCAATTTTTCAAGATGCACAAGATTAAAAAGAAACCGCTTCCACAGAAATATCCCAATCATAGGTAACATAGAGCATATCTGGACAGCTCGGTAACATCATCAATCTTCAATCTGTATGTATAAGTATGAGCCTCTCCACTAAATTAGTCTTGTTTGAATTCTCAAACTGCAACACTGTTTGGGATTTTGTCAGGAGACATGTTGTAGTATGGTAGCTTCTTTCCCTCGTTCCTCTTCTTGATGGAGCTGGTTATCTCTGCCAGCTCCTTCCTGAACTTTGCCATGGCATCCTTCACCGGCTTCTCTGTGAAGTGCTCATCAGGATACATTCCCAGGTACAGCTGCAGAAAGAGTGAGACGTGATAGGTTATTTAGCCTGGAGGAACGCCACAAGGAAAAAGGAAGGAAAAAAGAAGTACATTCTGAAGCAGAGGAGAGCATCTTGGGAAATGAGAAATGTACCAAATGTATCAAACTTTTGATTGTTTTGGAGGTGTGTCTGTGCTGAGATGTGAAAGTGTTCGAACGGTTGTCTGTGTGCTTTTCCTACTTCATTCTCTTGGTATTGGCTGAGGGCCCAGACGGCCCCCAGGTGCCAGCTGGAGCGCCCGCGATCAGGAAGGCTCTCAACGATCAAATTCACATTGGCCAGACCTTTCTTGTTGGGTGGGGGTTTCCGCATGGTAGATGGAGCATTGGGGATCCAGGAACACCAGTCATACTACACAATGTACACAAAGATACAGTGTGTGCATTTACCCAAGTGCTGTACAACAGTACAAGTCTGATGTTAAAGAATAAATATTAAAGAATAAATATATATTCTTAGTACTTATTTTCTGATTATGTTGTTTTATGTACTTTAATAATAAAGGCCTGTATAAAGAAGGGCCAGCTTTGAAGAATATAAAGAACCAGATTTAATACCGAGCAAAATCTTTCATCTTCTTCTGCTTTAATTTTACTTTTAGATTTCATAAGAAAATACTGCACCGCATATTACATGTGGAATTAATAGCTGCATAAAAGGTTTAAGATTTTATATTAAACAGACTTTTTGTAGGCAGACCCCATACAAATATAAATATACATATATAAAACACTGAAAACACATGGATGACCAGAGAATAAAGGGAGTTATAGGTTCAATTACCATGTAAAACATAATTCTCTCAGGGTGAAGTTACTGCCACATGTCCCCTGACAAAAGCCACATTCACTCACAGATTCATAGCTTCCCTGAATGTCACACACACACACACACACACACACACACACACACACACACACGGTGGATGCAGTATCATGCCAAATGATTAGCAGAAGCCAGGGATCGAACTGCCGACCTTATGTGACCTTTAGTTCTCTTGGCTGCCACTCTCTTAGGATAGCTTAAGCTTAAATATTTTTATTGATAGATAGAATTATTTCGAACATGCAAATATAACTGAAATAACAAGAGAAATAAAAAACAAAACTTCAAAAAAAAAATCAAGTTTTCATGTCTATATCTATGTCTACAGAATGTGTGTGCTCGAAATGTGTGTGCTTGTTAATGTTGTTGTGTTTATTGGGCGTTATTTTTTACCAAAAAGAGTAACGACCACTGCTGTAGGAAACGTAGTCACCACTAGTTTCACCTCAATCGGCTGCAGCAGGAAAACTTTGCTGCGGGTTTTAAATGCACACACTGATGCTTCAGTAGGAACAGTGTACAAAAACGTTTTTCTGTATTAATGAAACTTCTGCAGTAGCAAGTGTTTTTTTCTAATATTTCTGACATTTTTTACTTTAAGTAGTAACTTAAACTTTTTGACTTAAAAATCAATGATTTTCCACTTCTAGACACGCCTCCATTTACCTGTCCGAAGTTGACAGCTGCATGCTGGGCTGAGGCAGTGAAGATAATAACGGTCAGGTACTCTATCAGTTCCTCGCGTGTCTTCACGGACTTGGGAAACTCTATGCACGAAAGTGGGAACATAGAATCGACAAAATGAGCTCCAAGCTTTTTTCTTTCTTTTTTTTCCACCGCTTTTTTCTTTTGCAAGTCTATCTCTGCACATTGCACTCAGAATAGACAAGCGTGGTGAAATGCAGAAGCATTACAACATCAGGACTCAGGGAGTGACACAATCAGACTGCTGTGGCTTCCCTCCTTCACCCTTAAACTATTCATCCATAAGAGAGCAGATTTGAATTTATAATGCTGTCTGTTTCCTGTCATACCTGTCTTCCAGAAAACACCAGAGTAGGAGAGCAAGCATCTTTTCTCCTTGAGAAAAAGTCTGAATGGATGTTTGGGTGGTGTATTTTGCTCGATGCTGCATTAGCAAAAGAAACCTCACGCAAAACAACTCCTCTACCTACCGCAGTAATCCAGGTCCTGCATACCGAAGCTGCACACATCTTTAACAAAGGCCTGGATTTCTTCATCTCCCTGCACTCTCTCATCGCTTGTGTAATAAATATTCACAACATCAGACACAAACCTGTGGGGAAGAAAACGGATGTCATGTCACGTACAGAGGGGAAAAAAATGCTGTAACTTCTCTTTTTGAAGCACACACACACACACACAAGGGTAGAAATCTTCCTACACCTCTCGCTGTTTGTTCTTTCTTACAACTGCCCTCACTCCTTTCTCAGTGCTCTGTGCTAAAACTTTAAAAAGTCATTCCTCACCTCTTGGTAGCCTCCCACACCTTGTAGCCATCATCCCTGTAGAAGTAGGTGGGCAGTTCCTCCTTACTGTCCACACCACGGGACTTGATCAAATCAGGGAAGCACAGAGACCTGAAGGTCAAAGTCTTCACAGCCCTCTGAACCATCTGGACGTGACCGCCTCCGCCTGTTGCATTCGCCTTTATGAGGATGCAGAACATCATCCTTATTTAAACTGAAGCAAATTTAACTTTCAGTCTTCAATAGGAATGCACTTTTGCTAAATTCCCTACTTCATTATTTCACTATGTTAGTTAGATTTTTGTTTGCTAAGCTAAGCCTCAGTGTTTTGCGAATAAAGGAAGATCCAGTTAAGTTTGTTTGTTGAGAGACTGGGTTTACTTTCAGAGGGGCTTGAAAGCCTTTAAATACCATAGGAACCACAAATAGACCAGCAGTCTGAGAGCAAAGTGGTCTATACAGTACTACGAGATCTCTGAGATAAGATGACGCCTGATTATTCAAGACCTTTTATGTGAAGGCAAGGACATTAAATTGAGTTCTGGATTTACCAGGGAGCCAATGAAGAGAAGCCAATATGTGGGAAATATGCTATCTCCTTCTAGCCTTTGTTGGCTTTTCTGGGAGTTTTTAGGACATCATGATAGGAATCAGTTACAATAGTGCAGGCTGGAAGTAATAAATGCATGAACTAGTTTTTCAGCATCACTCCAAAACAGGATGTTTTTTTATTTTAGAGATGTTGTGCACAAGATAGCAGTCCTAAATATTTGTATAATATGTGCACTGGTGGACAGAAATGACACCAAGATTCCTCACTGGAGGCCAAAATAATGTCATCCAGATTAAGTAAAGGGTATTAGGGCCAATTACAATGACCCCTGTTTTATCTGAATATAGAGGCAGTAATTTAGAGGTCATCCAGGTCTTTAAATCTTTAAGACTGTCAGGGGCTGGGGCTGTGACCCAGCATTTTGAGTCACCTGTGTGATTTATATTCTTATATTGTATTGAATATATGCTTAGTTCTTGTGTTGTCATTATTAGTTAGGATTTAGCTGAGTTTTATTCTAGTTTAGGTTTCTATGCCCCCTTCTGTGAGTCTGTTCTTGTCTTCTGTGTTAGTTGTCAGGTCTACGTCTTGTCATGTTTACTGTTTATTTTGAAAGTCTTGTGTCCATGTTCCATGTATTTTGTTTTACTTCCCCTGTGGTGTCACGATGTTCATCTGTGTCAGGTGTATCCTCATGTATTTCCACTTCCCCTGATCACCTCCTGTGTGTATTTAGTCTGTCTATTGTCATTCTGTCTTTGTCAGGTCGTCTGTTTATTTTCCCTCCTCAGTACTGTCTCCTCCTGTGTTCTGCATTTGGGTCCATTCCATTAATACACCGGCGAATATCGCCGTGAGAAAGACATTCCTCCAGTTTACCTAATTAGTGTGTTATCTGGCTTCACGAATAGATAAAGTTGCGTATCATCTGCATAGCAATGAAAATGCATGCTATGCCTTTGAATGATACTGCATAAGGGAATACAATATTATGGTCAGCAGTATCAAACGCTGCACTGAAGTCTAGCTGTACAAGCACAGAGAGGAGTCCACTGTCAGAGACCATAAAAAGATAATTTGTAATCTTCACTAAAGCCATTTCTGTGCTGTGATGAGCTCTGAAACCTGACTAAAACTCAGATAAAAAATTACTCTGCAGACGATTAGTTAGTTGTAATAGCCCAGTTAGCTGCTGGCCCATAATTATCCAAGACAGCTGGATCAAGTGACAAATCACAGCTTTGTAAGTAATGGCTTAATTACTACAACCTTAAAGGGCTGTAGTACACAGCCCATTAATAAAGATCAATTGATCATACTTGAGATTGAAGCATTAAATGATGGTAGGGCTTCTTTGAGCATTCTTGTATGAATTGGATCTAATAGACACGCCGATGGTTTGGAGAAGGTAATTATTGAAGTTAACTCAGAAAGATCAATCAGAGAGAATGAGTCTAAATAAATATCAATAATATGTTAAGCAGCTGTATGTAATGATGTGTCTGAGAGAAGGTTATGAGTATTTTTTTTCCTCTAATGGTTAAAATTTAATTTGTGAAGAAATGAATGAATTCATTATTCATTAAATGATTATCCACAAACTCGCCTTGTCAAAGATGCCGCACTCACAGATGAGCTGCTCTCGAGCCTTGGTATTGATTGCGATGGTAAAACGAATGTGTGGGATGAGTAGCTGGGAGAAGGATGGACAACCAGTAAACCAAGGAATCAATAAGTCGTAACATTTAATAATAAGCTGGAGTTTTACCTTAAATGCAGGGTGAACAGCAGGAAGCTGCCTGAACATGGCAATACCAAACACCTCTGTCATCAGATGTGTCCGGAGCAGGTGTGTGATTGTCTGGTGGTGGTGGAAGTCACTGGAGCGGACCCAGATCTTAGCCAGCAGCCAGTCGTACTGACCGTCAGTTGGTAGGAAGATGGGGTTGTCTTCACCTGGAACCTGGCCAAGCTGAAAAAGACCAGCGTGGAATGAAAAAGCAAGAGTTTCAGTAAAACTGAAATTTCAGCTGCATGAAGAAATGGTCGCCTGTTAAAAACAACGTAACACACAACTGCTGCTGTTGAGCATCTTTTTACCTGTATGGCTATGGGCATGATCTTGTTCTGAGCATTCTTGTATAGCAAACAGATCGGAGCTGCCAGGTACTGCAGTGTGCAGGGGTCTGTGGAGTTTGGAGTGATGCCGTCTAGCACCTCGTAGTCTGCTATGTAGATGTTACCTGCCTGGAGTGAGAACACCAGTTTATTTTTTGGTTATAAGATTGGGCAAACCTGCAGTCAGCTGAGACTAAAGAAGTCACTTGGATGAGTGACGAAATGTTTCTCCCACTAAAAACGCCCAGATGAACAGAATCAGCTTTTGGAGAACACCAGTTTATATTATGCATTAGTTCCCAAAGTGTGGGGTGCGCCTCCTTGGACACTGCTAGCATAATGGACAGGTTTTTTGATGGGGCTCCCACACAAACGCAAACCAGAGGCTGAAGCATCGCCAGATACGCTTCCAAACCCAAGACTAGAACAGCAGCTGTCGTGCCAAGGTAGGTATCCCCGACAGAATTAGTTTCCCCTGCGTCAGGAACACACGCTGGGCTCTCCAAATCAGGGACAAACAGTATCCCACATTCTTGATTTTTAGTTCACAAACGCTTCTTATAACGACTAACTATTCCTGAAACTTTGGAGGTTTTAGCTCTTTATACAGTAAAGTTACAGGAGGATAAAAATAATTATCAGGAAAAATGTCCTTCGTTTGTTAAAACAATCCCATCCGATACCACGTGAATAAACATATAATTTTCTGTTGTAGCCCTCAAACTGAATGGTAATGTAACGACACTCACTTTTCACTTTTTCACAAAACTAAAACACAGTTGTTTATGTTTTTAAACCCATTTTGCACAGAGAGACATTTTTTGAAAAATGTATTGACATCAGCGTTGAATATTCTTACACAGTCAAAAAAAATAGACATAAAATAATAACACAATAAAGACGGTTCGTTTTTCTGTTATTCAAAAGGGGGTAGTGGTTTATTTTATTATTTCTTGTAAAATAAAGGGGGGGCTGGCAAAAAAAAAGTTTGGGAGCTACTGCATTAGCAGGAGATTTAAAGAGAGCTGTAGCTGCTGTCAACATAAACCTGACAAATTTTTCACACTGATAAATCCACTACATTCAGAGAAACAAACATAGTCATGTGTACCTCTATTTCCTCCTCCAGGGTGAGCTCCCTCTCCAGGCTGACAGCAACCATCTCATGAGTGACGGGAAACTTGTCAGGGAGCTTCTTGCACTTCCGGATCAGTACAGGGTTGCAACCATTCAGAAACTGGTATCCAAACATGAAATCCTCTTTCCAGTGTTGCATCACATACTCTGAATATTATATCATGTCAGAATCTCAGAGGAAATATCTAAAATATTTAATGTGATATAAGTATGTTTGTATAATGTAGTGTAGATGAAGCTGACCTGAAATGGTGTTTTTGATTCTCACAAAGATTTTCTCAAAGTCAGAGAAGTCACTCCAGGAGGACTGGAACATGTGCATGAACTGGTTCACAAACAGGTTCTCTATTCTGGAAAATCATCATCGTAATCACAATCACCGTTATGCACAACATTCAAGAAAACCAAAGAATCTGAAATTGGATGTATTTTGGAGCAAAGAATCAAAGAAACACTGCTGTTAAAATAATTTCAGGAAAAGAAAACGACGTCTGATGATGCAGCAATGCTCACTTTTTGACGTTACTTCTGTCCACAAAGCTGCAGCATTTCTGAAGAAACAACTGGAGCTCAAAATGGATAACTGGTTTAGCCATTCGATTATAATATTAGCATGAGTATTTTTGTTCACCCTGCTCGTGATGCAAACAGCTGTGTTTTGGATCTGTTTTGTGTTTGCATCTACTCGCAAGCTCACACGTCTGCCTACAAGCGCAATGCAAATGTCTCCGGTGATAAACAGACAATGACACCACTGTTTATGTTTTGGGTTTTTTTCCTGGTTAGCCCTGAGTACAGAAAATAAAGAGCATATCATCAGGCATCAGCCCATCGTTTGATTCTGAATGCTTTGCATTAAACAGGGGTTAAAACTCCACTGACTCCCTCTGTGCTGTATACTGAGGGACTCGTTCACCTTTACAGGCAGTTGTAAGTGGGGTCACTTACGCCTTGCTGTAGTTCAGTACGAAGTCCACTCCTTTCTCACTGTCAAACTGGATGTCCCGGGGCAAATCCTTGTGTCTGTTAGCATCTATACTCATAGGAAAGCCTGGCTGCCACTCTCTCCATCTGTAAAATGCAGCAGTGTTGTTAGAAAACATCCTCATCAGCCTGCCTGTACCTCACAATAACAAGCTGGAGATGCAGCGCAAACTTGCCTGTAGGTTTTTCTCCTCCCGTCCAGCTCTTTCTGTCTGTGCTGCTTGACCAGACTGGTCTTATCATCCTGAGGCAGATGTGCTACAAGAGAAAGAAAAAGTGTGGAACTCGTTTTTCCACTGCAGGTTGACAGATGAACAAGACAAAACATGTGATTTGTGTGGCAAACAAACAAAACAAGAGATGACTACCTCGTCCATCTCGGAGCACCACTTCCTTGTCATTCACCAGCCAACAAAAGCAGGGGAACTCCAAGTAGTCTCCAGATGGGGTCTTGACAGTGATGTACCTGCAGTACCAGTCGTCTTGCACCCAGTACTTCTTCTTCTCAATCTTCACCAAGACGATATCACCCAGGTTCTCCCCAACTCTCACCTCATAGGAGTCCACCTGAAACGTGGTCAACATCTACCGTCAAAAGTGAATGCTGAAAACTGCCAGTTTATTATTAAATGGGGAAAAAAGACATTTCTAAGCATATAATATGGGACATTTTTAAGTAAAAAACAAAATAGAAGCATATGCATGTTTGTAAGTGGGTTGAATCTATAATCTGTAAACAAAATAGAAAAACCTTTTTAATATATTATTTGAACTGAAAATTAAATCTAAGCAATCTAAGAAATTAGAAATGAGTAAATTTAACATTTATAATATAAAATTAACTTTCTGTAATTTCCCATTGTTTAATTTATACCCATAGATTTACCACAATCAACTGTAACATTAAAACCACCCCCTGATAGTGCATAATGCCCCCCTACTGCTGCCAAAACAGGTCAGATTAATCAAAGCGCACAGGGCCTCTGAGCTCTTAAAATGGCTGTTTGGCACAGAGGTGTTGGCAGAAGGTGACCTCAGTCCTGTGGGGCCTTTTGTTTTGTACTGAAAGTAATTCTAATTTTGAAAGGTGCTACTTTAATAACCTACTGATCATCTCATCGGGTTATAAAAGTGGCTCCATTTCCGTCACTGCACACAGCAAAATCTCCAGTGTTAAATTAACACTAGAGAGTGTCTATATGGGTCCACTCTGAGTGTTAAATACAACACTGTTGGGTGGTAAATGAACACTTTTGACAGTGTTATATGTTTAAAAGCAACCCAGTTAGTTTTGAAGATTAACAAAGACTAACACTGAGCAGTGCTGATTTTCTAACACTGGAATATTTCTAACATTTTGAGTTATTTTCCAGTGTTAGAAAATCAACCATACAGTTATCAGCTGTTTGTGATCATCATCCATGAATATAAAATAAAAATAAAACAGTCATCTTCGCAGCAGTTTTTCATCACTTACCGCTCCTCTCTCAAAGTCATTGTAAAGAGGTTTGTCCAGGAGCGTTCTCTCGCTGCACCCCTCCGTGCCCACAAGTGTAATATAGATGTAATCATCAGTCCCCGCAAACCACTGGTTCCCTGTGGCAATTGTAACTGTATAAGAAGGCATGACGACCACACAGGACGTAAAGAACTCCAGCAATGTCCCAACACCGTCTGAAGGTGAAGAAATCTGCAGTAAATCTCTTCTATTATCACCTACGAGAGGTCGAATCTGAGATGTTTAGCAGCCGTTGGTTCCCCTTCTTGCCTAAAAGCTTTTCTTCGGTGATGTAAACTTCGCACTTGTTGCTACAACTCAAGCATCAAGATATTGTATAATCATGTGACAGGGGGAGGTGCATGACGAGAACTAACTGACCTCCCTGTGATGTGACTGACTGCCACGCTTTGACTTGAAATGAGGTCAAAATATAATATAGCCGTCCTTCCTCTGTTATTGTAGGTGTTTTAAGGCCTACAGACATAAATGTGGACACAAGAAAAGGTGTCTTATTCCAGAAACAGGTATCAAATTAAACTTTCTTTCTTTTAAACCTTCCTTTGTCTGCAGACAAAGGAGTTTTTTTAATATGTATATAAGGGACAGCATCCCTGATTTTGGAATTACTTTAGGAAAACAGTGACGAGCACGACAACCTACATTAAAACACTAACTGACTTTAACTAATTTGATGTGAAACTGTATCAAAAAACATATGAGTCTCTATTAGGTGTATCTTTTGCATCTGTGTCTCATTTACAAATCAAATCACTAGGTGCCATGGGACAACAGTGGATGGTAGTTTTAGTAAAATAAATGCAAATGCATCAGCGAGTCCCCCTGTGTGGTTTTAAAGGGGGGGGGGGAATATAACGTCAACATGAAAAAGGAGCTATACGTGCCAAACTCAGAGTGGGAAAAGGAATGAAGTTGTTGCTTCGTCACTGACTGGATTCAAAAGTGTTTTTCCTCTCGTAAATGATAAAAGCAAGGAGAAAGAAACTCCTGCTCCTCATACTTGGATGGAGTAGTAAGGGACAGCATCTTCAGAAGAAACGTGAAATCAAAGAGAAAAATAAAGATACCAGACCTCGTACTGTTTTAAGAAGATGGCATGTAATTATATCATTCAGACACTGCTTTTAAAAAGCATGGCAACTAAAACTGAACAAGTACAAAGTCAGAAAATAAAGCTCACAAACAAACAAAACAAGGCATTTTCATTGTTCATTTCTAAAACAAAAAAAGATATTCTTTCAGCCCCATCTAGCCCGGCAGTGCTTCTCCACATAAACACCCGAACAATAACAATCCATTACCAGTGGCAGTGGGCAGTAGGAGCATCGAGTGAGGGGAAAGCTGTTTTTAAAAAACCCAATATGGAAATAAGAGGAACGGTATGAAAAACAATGATGAAAGCATTTGTGCACTCTGGACGAATGACTGCTGAAAGGTCTGTTTCCTGAAAGTAGCTGCAACTTGGTATTAGTATGTCAGTAAGTCCAACAATGTAGGTGTACTGTATTTGTTTATTGAAGTCACACACAGACTTCGTCACCTGCACTTTTACATTTGAAACTTTTGATATGGAAGAAGTCTGCTTTCCTACATTTTTAGACTTTTTTCCAACACCTTTAGTCACAAGTCTGTGTCTAACACCGAGTCTTTAGAGCATGTAAGCTGCCCAAAATGTCAGCACATTTCAATATGCTACAACAGTGCTTTCTGACCCCTCAAGTGTGCTTTTCAACAGAATGATTAAAGACCAGTTTGAACCTGTCCACACTTTAAACTGGATCTTCTGGGACTTCAGTGGATTAAGCAATAAATTACTCTATGAAGGGACAGCAGATCAGAAGAAAAAAAAAAAAAGCTATCTTCTGTACAAATTTGCAGCTGAGCTGTCGACGTAAAACAGCGCACCTCTCTAGGAGATATTCAAATGAGACAGAGGTGTATATTAGGGGAAAATCCCTCTGTGATGGGCATGAGCAAACTGTGATAAAGAGTATGTAGACACGGCTTCATTTGAAAGACTCACAAACCCATAATGGTGGAAAGCACCGTTTTAAGAATCTGCCTTTTGCACTTCCCCGCCCCATTCATATATACCTACACACATGCACGCACACATGGTAAAGCTGAGGCATCAGCTGACTCACGCAGACAAATGTTTAATAAAACATACTAATCACTCTGAAGAAGTGAGATATTGAATGCAGAGAAAGGCAAGAGGCTAAATAAAACTAGGATGCCTGATCAACAATTAAGGATCCTTATTATTGGTGACTTGAAGGCATGTGATGAAAAAGATCCAAACATAATTTTTTCTTCAGTAATTAATTCGCTTTTTTTCTCTCCTCTTGGACAATAAATGTAAACAGTCACAGTGAAACTCCAGTGAAACACAGCATGTATGATTATTACTATCTGAATGACTTCTTGTGGTTAAAAGCAAACCCAAGTTCCTTAATCTGTCAAGAAGTTGTTGATTTCATATGAATGTTGCCAACAGTAAACAAAACATATCAGTGCTGCCACCCAGTGGCAACAGGTCGCTAAATCAATAAATACAGCTAGAGTCATTAAGTGCAAATTACTCCTGAGTCCCATCTGGCAATCGTGTCCCTCCACGATATCAGCCCAGAATCCACATTATATCAAAATCTCAGCATCTCAAAAGATCTGTGTGAACACCAGTGATCAACGGTGGACACGATTCAGTCTAATCAAAGACACAGACTAAACATCTAAGAGCACGTTAAACAGAAGAGCAAGGGTCTTTCAGCATTTGAACATGTACACAGTAACTGCTCTAATTAAGTATTCTGGCAGTAAAATAAGGGATTGTTTCAAAATAAAAGTCATGTACCACACATGTCACAGCATCTCTAAAAAATATGCAATTTCCTTAAGTTGTGCAGTTTATAATTAAACACTAAGCTTTAAATCTGCAAAATACTTTAACTTATTTTACAATTACTCTCAAATTTCAGCCAAAGCTACGTTTTACCACATTGAAATAAAATAAAGATATGACATATAATAAAGACGTCAACACATTCCTATTCTCTGTACAAAAAAAAAAAAATTATATATAAGGGGTGCAACGATACTCGTATCGATATTGAACCGTTCGATACAGTGCTTTCGGTTCGGTACGCACATGTATCGAACAATACAAAATTTTTAATTTATTTTATCAACTTTTCTTCTGACGATGCTGTCTGTGTTGAGCGCTCAGTGGATCTGCGTTCGACTACTCCGCCTAGGCTGTACTGTCAAGCGCAGATCCACTGAGCGCAGCGCAAGCTAGCAAGACAGAAGCTAAGCTCGTTGCAACATGGCAAATTGAACCTCCCCCATCCTCATTCAGATCTGGCCTTTGGAACTATCTTGGTCTTCATGTGAAGTATGACCCTGAAGGTAAGCGCGTCATGGACAAAAGTAAAACAGTATGTCGGATGTGCCACGCAATGCTCAATTACATGGGTGGGAACTAGTGCATTAGCGCAGTTAGCTCGTTAAGGTGTTGACGTCGTCCAGCCCCACACACGGGGTGATCTGCGGTAGCTCGTTAATGGAGATTTGCTGTGTTGTGGCGTTAACGTCATTTCAGATTAACGCTGACAGCACTAGTGGAAACAAAATGAATATGACTGCACATTTACGCCGACATCATCCTAGTGCAAAGACAAGTGGAAGCAGACAAAAACAACAAGCACGCATGCTACAAACTTTACCCGAGTCATTTAGACAGCCGTTAGCACAGGATTCTCCTTATGGGGACCTGATATGTTTAATATGCTGCTGAGAATATAGCCCAGAAGAAGCGTATAGTATAGCTTTTATTTTGGAAAGAGCCATTTCTCTGTAATAAACTCTCTTTTCCAAAGATGAGTGATTTCTCGATCAGATAGATTTATTATTTTATCCCTTTGTTGTTTCAGCAACATTAAATTTAAAAACTGTACTTTTGAGTTAAAATATATATTTATAATTTTAATAAATGACAAATTAAAAAGCATGAACATTTTTTTGTATCGAAAAAATATCGAACCGTGAATTTTGTGTATCGTTGCACCCCAATAGTATGTATGTGTGGTGTGTGTGTGTGTGTGTGTGTGTGTGTTATGTATATATATATATATATATATATATATTTATTTAGGAGACAGAGCTTAGTTGGATCATTTTATGCATCTTAAAATCTCTTCACCAGGTCAGAACATAGAAAACACCACTATAAAAATGCATTTCTCAGATCACTGCGCGCTGTGAATGATGCAGCTTTAAAAAGAAATAATGTTAGGGTTACTGTGGGGCAGGTTACACCCATTTATGAGCATGAAGGAAGAAATTAAAATTATGAGTTGTTGAATTACGAAAGCAAAAAGTAAGAAGGAATGAAACAGGACAGACATGGAGTTGCTTTTTCATTTCATATTAAAATCCCTTTTTCGGTGAGGAAAAGGCAGTTCCTGCACTCAGGAGTTTAAGACATAGTGAGCAACCTTCAGATGAAGGAAGCGTTGAAGTCAGCTGGCATTAAGTCTAGGAGCACAAAGGCCTGGGTGCAGCCTGGGAGGTACAAAAAACAGCCACTAGTTCAGGTGGAGGACCTGCTTCATGAACTCATAGGTGGTAAAGGCCACAGCCTGGGAGGGGACACAGCGGATGTAGTTGAGAGAAAGGCCTCGGTACAATCCTTTCTTCACCCCAAACGTATTATACACGTACTTTAGTGTCTTGATCAGTGATCTGTTTAGGTAAAGACAGAATACATAAATAAATACACCTTTTAGAAGAGAAAAGAAAAACAGTATTTTTTTAACTCTTTATCCCTTGAAAACAAACTGAGCGGTTTCCTTCATATTTCAGATGCTCAGGGTATCCTTGAACTATTCTAACAGTCATCAAACCACGTTTTTAATTGATATATACTGAGGTTGTCTTTATGGGGAACAGATTTAAATGATTTAATCTCCAAACTACCTTAAATAATGTTTGTTTTTTGAAACGAAAAATTTGCCATTTTTATTCGTGACCTTTGAGGTTGCATAAATCAGCTGTAATCACACAAAAACTTGTCTTTGGTAGTGACCGATGAACTGTACTTGTGAAAACATCCAAAATTTCTTTTACATAACATTGTAAACAGAACACAAGAAGGGTGAGAAGTGTTTATACTGGCATCTGTGAACTTTACAGCTATGAATGGTATGTAGCTGTAGCTTTATAACTCAGTTACTACTACAGTACTAAAAATGTCGGCCCTTTTTTTCCCTTTTTAATCAATAGTACCATATCTAGACTAAACAAGCACAAAACCTCAGGAATTTTCTCCTTTTTAATCATTAAGTTAACCACACAAAACCAAATGTGAAATCAACCTTTTTAAGCAGTCAATGTACAAACACTACCAAAGAAGTGAAAGACGTAAATGGGAGACAAATGTTATTTATTATGGAGCTCTTGTTACAGAATGCATAAAAACTGAGACTATTATAATCAGATGTGCTTTTAAAAGCAAAGACACAAGAATCAAATATTTATTCAGCTTGATGAGCGACTTATGAAAAAAAAAGGTTAACTTCATCAGCGCTGTGTTGTGTGAGGTGTTTTTCTATTATTACCCTCAGTACGACATTACACCTAAGAACCAATTACCCCTTCATTTCTCTCTGAATGTGTTGCATACACTCACTGGCCACTTTGTCAAGCTCAGCTGTTTAACTGTTTAACGCAAATCTCTAGTAAGCCAATCAGATGGCAGCAAATTAATACATTTAGGTATGCAGACATGGCCGAGACAACCTGCCAAAGTTCAATCTGAGCAGAAAAAACATGTTTTAAGTGATTTTGAAAGTGGCATCGTTGTTGGTGCCAGACGGGTTGGTCTGAATCTTTCTGATCTACTGGGACTTTCCTCACACAACCATCTCTAAGGTTTACAGTGAATGCTCCCAAAAATGGGAAAATTATCCAGTGAATGATAGTTTTCTAAAGATCAGATCCGCTCAAACTGCTTTCTTAAACATGACATGAATGAAACTGCTTCTACAGGCACTTGATCTCAATCCAACTGGGATGCAGTGGAAGAGGAGATTTGCATCATCAGTGTGCAGGTGATGAATCTGCAGTAGCTGTGTGATGCCATCATTAAACATGGCATTCTTTGCAGAGTGTTTCCAGCAACTTGGTGAATCTATGCCATGAATAATTAGGGCAGCTCTGAAGGCCTCAAACCCAGGGCAAGCAATAAAGTGACCAGTGAATGTAAAATCATGTCAGACCACATAAAAAAAAAAAAAAAAACACCTATTTTTTTTTCTTTGTTTGTTTTCTTTCCACTTTAAAATTAAAACATCTTGTCTTTATACTAGGAAAATAAATATTTAACTATTTGTAACATAAATGAGGCGAATGTAGCGAACAACAGTGATACTTACACACATTTCTCTGAGTCAGGAAGCACAGCGCCTAACTGCATTCTTCTTCTAGCCACATCCAAAGGGTACCTAGTGAGACAGCATACAGCGTGACACATGAACCATCAGTCAATCAGTCTAATCAACAGCAAAGCCCTGCTGGGCATCGCAAATTAACCAGTCACTTACGATGCCGTCTGAGCAATAGCCCCCGCAACCCCTCCACAGAGAAGATTGACATGGGTTTTCAAAATGAGCACATCGGGGTTGTCTGAGGAAGGCCGTCCAAGCAGCTCTGGGAAATGTTTCAAACCCAGGCTTTTCAGGGTCCCGAAGGTGAAGAAAGACAGACCTAGGAGCATACAATGCAACAGAGCCCACACTGGTTATATATGTGGGAGGGAAAAATGCATTTTATGTTGTCCTTCACATACTAGCATCAAAAATATTTCCAAAAATCACCTGCATAAGGCGCCATTCCAATAAGTGTTGGAGTAAGTCCCCTGTAGAAGCCCAAGACACCTCCCTCCTTCACAAAAAAAGAAGCAAATGTAAAAACGGGTATTGCAGGCAAATTGACCTGATCTTAAATTAAAGGCTAAAATCTTGTGTGAAGAGCATTTAGTTTATTAGACGCTTATTTGATCACTAGCAGATCACCTTAAGGTAGATGGTGTGGAAAGCATTAGCAATTCCAGTGTAGCGATGATCTCCCTTCACCTGGAAGGCCAGCCTGGCTCGGATTACATCCAGAGGGTAAGTGCATATCACTGCAGTCATCCCTGAAAACACACAAAGAACACACTGACTCACAGCGGACTCTTGTATGTGAAACATTTAAACATAGTTAGTAATTAAAGAGGAACAAATAGCAATGATGGTTAGCTTAGAGGAAGGCACATTATCTACGTCAGAGGAGTGCATGACACCCAACTGTCACAGACTAGGTATTATCAGTACCTGCCATAGATCCTGCCATGAGGCGGTGGATGTGTCCAGAGATGCCTATCTGTTTACTTAGCAGCTGTAAAGGGAATATTGGCAACATCAGCTTGGGTAGAAAATCAACGAACCAATAAAACAATGCAAAGATGAAACGAATGCTGTGATGTCAATACAGCACAAAATACACGGACATTAAAGCACACAGCATGAGGTTTAATCATTTTTATAGCTTTGACCTTTGACAGCAGCACTCCACAATAAAATGCATACTGTACCTTTTTATATTTGTCAAAGGCCATGAACTGGATGGCTCCGTAAGGAAATATCCTGACCATCATAGCCCCATTACCCTTGTACAAGCCAAGGATGCCTTCTTTTTTTGGCACAGCTCTGAGAGTGGAAATTACTCCTGCGAAGAAAGTCCTAAAGTTTCACTCCTATACAGACGTGTGGAAGCAAACACTTGTTAGCTCAATATTATTACTATTATTATTTTACCCAGATGTTTATAATGGGGGTTCTGGGCTTGAAGAAGAATCTTGACCCTGTCCAGAGGAGCGATGGTAGTCTTGGCACAGCATCCTGCTACACCTAAAAACAAAGCAAATGCCATTCAGAAACAGATGAATGATTGGTATTTTCTTTTTATTTATCTACAACTAACAAGCAAAAGTAATTGCCCTTTTCTTGCACAACAATGTCAAACATTTAACATTTTGTGGCAAGTCAGACACACAGGTAACCTGTCCAAACAAGATCGGCCAATCTGAGCCAACATCGGTGTTACTTGTGAGTTGC